CATAGAATCATAGAATCATAGAATCTTTATATATATACATATATATGTATATATATACACACACAAAATATATACATATCCTATAATAATAGCCTCAGTTGCTAAATATGATTTGTTTCTGGTGTTTTTAAGCTTGTTTTATGACTCAGGCTTGAACAATCTGGTTATTGTTGATTACATAAAATCTGTAATTATCTGAATGTAATTTAAGTTCTCGATATCTGCATTTTGTTTCTATGCTTACTTTTATTTTAGCTTTCCTTGCAATTTGGGGTGCACCTTCTGAAAAATGTTCAATCTGTGTTCTTAAAACTCTGCCTGTGATTTTTGCTCTCCGGAGAGCAGCTCGGTGTGGGTTGCCACTTTCAGCAAGAGCAGCAAGCCCCTATTCCAAGCAGCCGATCATTTCACATCATTGGGGTTTGAGAGATTTATGTTGAGACCTTTGCAGATATGGCTGTGATAAACATGTAGGTGGAACGGACACTTGAATGCCTATATACTGCAGCGATAGGGTCTTCACACCAGAAATAGGGCAGATTTTTATCTCTTAATCACGAAGGTGCAAAGCACCTGCACTGGCCAGTAACATCCACGAAGTCCCTCAGCCATTTGCAAGTAAAAAAATATTCTACAGCTGGCTTAGTTGGCTGTAACATTTGTTTTTCAGGGAGGTCCCGATTTCGCTCACTTTTACAAATAGTTTTGTAGAGGTCAAGCAATTCATGCTTTCTCCCAAAGGGCTAATTCTCTGCTGCATACCACAACTGCAAACAAGTTTGAAAAAAATGGCAAAATGTGGTTCAGTCAACGAGCGAGCAAAGTTTATCCAAGACAGCAAAACTTGTACAACTGGCTGAAGTGCAGGGATGAAGAAGCAGAGAGAGCAGCTCCTTGCTGTAATTCAATCCTGTTTGCATTTCTCAACCGGACTGTAACAAACAGATTTACTCTGTTCCTCTTTTTAAAAGGAAAGGGCACCTACTTTATAAGCAAGCGACTAACTTCCAGTACAATTGCAAACATCAAAAAGAGCAGGCAACATCCCCACGCCCCAAAGATTTCCCAATAAGACAGAAAAGGAGATACATCCCACCCTGTGCCCCTGAGACAGCACGTCCCTCTCTCCGGGTGCTGGAAGGGGTGGTGGGACCAGGCTTTTCACATCAAAGGAGGAGCGTATCTCAAGAGTAAGGAGAGCATCACTTGCAGTCCTTCCTGATTTCAGCAGCGGTCCCGTTCATGCCCGTTTCCTCATCGGAGCTTGGACGTGTGTCTCGGGAAAGGCTGGTTCGGGGCTGATCTGGGGTGCTGGTGCTGACCTCGCATGCCACCTGGGCACCCGGGGCTGTCCGGGGCTGGTGCCCCCCCCCGTGCCCTCCTGGTCTGGGGGGCTGTAGTGTATTGCACTGCCCTTACCCCCTGCGCCTGCTGTTAAGCACACGCAGCCAGGAGGAAGCTGCAGGACTGATAGTGTTGTGCCTGTTTGCTGGATTAAAACTTTTTTAATGTCATGCCTCCAGCCCCCAAGTACTTGAACGATTTTGTGGCTTTTATGGGTATGGCAGCTGTTCAGAAGTGCCAGTGGTGCTTGAGTTACTTGAATACATGTCCTGTGGTAGCGCAGCATTCCTGGTATACACTGTATGTACTTGTTTGTAGCCTGGTGGCAATAGTTGTGTGGACATTTCCCCGCCAAGGCGCAGTCTAAGGTTGTGTGTCCGTAGTTAGCATCCCTTAGACAGTATGAAGTCGCCAAGGGTCAGTCTCTGCTGGCTATAGTGCCTGCACCTTCTCCGGGTTTTTCTTCCAACCTCTTCAGATTGAAGGAACGTGGTCAAAATTGTGCACAACAGAAAAGAAGCCCCTTCAAGATTTTTATAAGCTGGAGGAGGCTAATTCTTCCTGTTTCAAATACACAGCGTGTTTGCTTTAAACAATCCCCAGCGTTGGGCCCAGAATTGCAGAAACCCGAATGTAAATTTTGGTTTAAAAAAGTAACCGTGAAAATGTGTGGAGTTGCGAAGCCTGGGAAGGGATACTGTCACAAGGAAAACACGTACTTGTAAATTCCCACAGGAGAATTTACAGGCAGTAGAGACAAACCTCTAAAGCAGAAGCTCTGCATGTAGGTAGCACTTGCACAGAGATTGTCATCTTCAAAGCACCGAGCAAATGTTTGTTAATCATACTACAGCAGCCTTCGAGGCTATCAGGCAGGTATTAATATTACTGTGTTGCAGGTGGAGAAACGGAGTCAAAGAAGTTACGTAATTTAGTTGAGATTAAGGACAGTCATAACAACCCGATGAATAGCGCAGATTTTCCTCGCCTTTATGTTTGCATGTTGCTGAAGCTGCTGTGCTCCTTAAAGGGAACCGCACAGATACAGTTGTGTTTTGAAAGGAGGTCTTTCCCTCTAAATTTATGTTTCTAATGCACCGAGGGTGAGCATATGTAAGGTGACGTGAAATACTAGCTATCCAGTACAGCTAGGGTTATCTTTCATTTCGGCCCTAATTCAACAAGTCCCATGTATTGGACACTTGCACGTGTGCCCAAGCCAACGCACATGGGTTTTCTCCTACCGTTGCTCGCTCTTGGGTCTCCTCCTGAAGTGGCACGGACGTGTGTGTCTGTTCTCCCAAATGGCTTTTGAACTTGCTGTTCAGCTTTAACCGTGTCTGACGGCAGGCTTGAGGTCTCAAAAATTCCTGTATGTTTCGTGAAAATACGTGGCTGATTAGATGAGACAAATCCTTCTGCTTAGGAAAAGGCTTGTCTGTTTGCTCCTTAGACACATACATGGAAGAGCCCTGGTCAGAGTTCGCTCCCTAACAGCCACCAGAAAAACAGCGCACGAGACTCAAATCCAAGGAACAGCTTGTTTCATTGCTCTTGGAATGGCTTCTTTCTTTTTTCTTGTCTTTTCTTGTCTTTTCTTACATCTCTTGCGTTCACAGTGTTGGCTGTTGCATTTCTGCATGCTATGATGGGGACAGAAGAAACTGCTGTCGCTTCACATCGGCCTGGCATCAAAATGTGAAGTGTGAGTCGCTCTGCTGCTGGGAAGTCCTGATTTTCCCACAGTACCTATAGTTTTTTTCAGGTGGTGGAGGTTTCTGAAACTGGATGGGTATCTTCCTTACAAATGACACCTTGTTGTTAAGGAAGAGCATTATTGTGCAACGCATGATAAATGACGGATCAAGAAATTATACCGGTTGTTAAGGGATAGGGATGAGCTCAGGTCATAATTACTAATTATGACCTTTATTACCTATAAAAATGCCATGAATGCCTCTTTTGCACTGTGATAGCTGCCCCACCTGGGGCTTTGATGCTTCATCCTCACGTGCTGGGATGGAGCAGCGGCTTGCTGATTGAGAGCCAGCAGCTGGCCCTGAGCACCCCTGCTGCCTGTACCCCTGCCAGACCCCGAGCACGCTGGAAGATGGGCCCATCAGCACAACCCTCTGCTCTCCTGGCTTATAGACCATGGACACTACCTCCAGCTTCTGCGAGAAGGGAAAGGAGTGTGAAATCCATCACCGCTTTCCAACGCTTACTGCGATGCTGGTATCCCAGGTTTGTGGCTGGGAATAAAAGTTACTCGGATTTGGACTGATTCAGGGAGAGAAGGAGAAGCAGATACGTGGTTGTGTGAAATAAGAGTCGAAGTGTCATTTTCTACCAGTGTGAAAATTCCCTAAGCCTTTAGCATGCTTCTGGTGAAGTGGTAAAGGTTGAAAACAGATTTTAAGTTAAAATACACAGAATAGAACAACTGGTCCAGTGATTTATTTGCTAGTTACAAATTCTGAACAATATATTTGACCGTGGATGTGGCAGGCACCGCTGTACTGGGCAGTGAGCTCTGAAGACCTGTGCCATGCGTTGGGCTGTGCTGTTGGCCTGCTGGTATCCTGAGCAAACCCCTCCGATCCCGCCCGTGACAAATTCCTCATCTGCAGAACGGTACAATTGTACTGACCTTCCCGGTCGATGAAGTGTACAACATGGGGAAGGGCAGGCTTTTCCCCGCTCCAGAAATTGGGACCTATAGTTAGGGGGGTGAGGTGGGAGTGAGGGTGCCCCTTCCCATCTGAAGTCAGCGTGGTCCGTGGCCGTTTCGCAAAGAGTGAAGGATGCAGCGTCACCCCCCAGGAGCGTGCAGGTGCCGAGCATCCTGGGGAGCCGCCGGCATTCCCGCCCGTGCTGGCTCGCAACCTTTCTTACAAACCCAATTCTCTGTCTGAAGACCTTGTATTTCATGTTTGTGCTACGTTTGAAGAGTGCTTCTCGGGAATGGATAAAATGTACGGCTTTGGTTTCTTTCAGAAGTTAAGATTTTTATTTTTCCTTCTGCTCTATGTATTACTAGATTTTATTTTCTTTCCCGTCAAATAGCCTTTTGTTTGGTTGGGGGTTTTTTAATATTTTTCTATACTTGTCTTCTGGTCGGTAATGGAGATTACATGGTTTAGATAGAACAGATACTATGTGGGTTAATTTTTCTCCTAAAATTACTTAAAATGTCATCTCACTGAAGATGACAAATCAAGGGCCTTGTAAACATTCATGCTATAAAACCAGTTCTGATTTACGCACCTTTTATTATTGTTGCCTGCATAAAAAACTTGTTGTTAACTTTGTCAGAGCACTGAAATCTGAACATGTCTTCATTGCGATCACAGAAGCAATTTCATTTTAAAGTGGCAAAGTGCAGAGTTTCTAATAAAAATGTAATTTTTCTCTCACTGCAAATGCTTCTGTGCTAATTCTCATTTAAATCACTGTAAAATGTGTGATATATCAGTTTAAACAGCTGCAGTATCAAAGGCTTTACTTTTTTTTTTTTCCCCCTGTAACAGTTTTGGTAAAATTCAAATGCATCAGTAACGTTTCACGTTTATCTCATCAAATTAGTTTTACTACAGTACCTCAACCTGAGTTAGACTTAAATACCATCTAAAAATCAACCATTAAGTTGTTTTAAATTGTTCCAACAAGATATTCTTGGATGCGCAGCATCTCTTACGCTGTCTTTACTACATTTGGGCAAAAAGGTGGAACAAGTTTTCTGTAGGTCGAGCACGACGGTAGAGCGGTGTGTGCTGGCTGCTGCCGTGGGGCCGGTGCTCCTGCGTCCTGCATCCCTGCCTTCCACACCGGCTGCATCCCTGGTTCCCAGCTGGCACGTTAGGGTTGCAGCCTCTCACGCATTAACACTGCTGGGACAGCGAGCGCGAGGCTTTGCAGGATGTCTGGGGAGAGTTTTCTTTCCGTGCTGCTTTATCCTTCACCAAGTAAAAGTTTTCTCCTAATTTGCTTTGGGAACCTGATGCTTTCCACAAGAAGAACGTGTTTGGTCCTGCCAAACACCTTAGTTGTCACACAGTTAAACAGCAGCAGCTGGAGATAATTCACAGACGGTCAGGGACATCCCTAAATACTTCGTTGGAGGACACCCACTTTGTACCTGCATACACCTCCGAGTACAAAATCACCAGCGTCCGTGAGGTGCCCTTGCTGTGCAAACAGGAGGATGTGTGCGGCGATCTCTTTCACAGGTGTAAGTGCTGCACTACTTGATTTGTGAGTTCTTGCAGCAGAGTGGGATTTTGCTGGGATGTCAGCACACTCTTTTGGGGTGTCTATGGGCTTTGTGAAACGGATTCTTGGACTGCTGGTACAAATGAAGCAAATAAATCTGCTCCTGCTGTTGTTCAAAAGGCTGCTTCCAGCTCTGCCTCCTGCCACTTGGCCCTCTGCTCCCTGCCCGTCCTTGCGCAAGCTCTGCCTTACCAACTGCCTTGCAGTTCCTTTGCTAACCTCTTACGTCCGTTTTTATCTCATCGGCAGATTTGAATAACCGCACAAAAGTGCTACTGAGGGCTTTTTCCAGTTCCTCTCTGTCGATGGTAACGCATGCAGGACTCATATTGACAGATTAATGTGGGGCTGGCTGCAGCAGAGCCCGTTGCTGGAGGCTGCTCCTAAGCACGCCGCCTGTGATCCTGCACTGTCTGACTCCGAACCCGTTTGATCATTGTAGGGGGTCAAACGCTTGGCTCGAGTCTTTTTTATGTTTGTGTTTCTCTCAGGCAATTGGGGCTGAAAAAAGAAACTGGAGGGACCAAAGTGGAGCGTTCTCATGAAAAAAAATAGATGCAAAACACAAAGCACCATTTGTGCTCGAATTTGGAGGGTTGAGGGGAAGGACAGCACTGTTCAGCTGCTATAGATGACTTGGTTTCCTTCAGCTAGAGAAATGCTTTGTTTCTATTCTATTGTTAATTAACCACTCTGAGAAAAAATACATTTGTAAATTAGGCGGGAGATCGCTTCAGGACTCTGCGCTGACTTCTGCCAAGGCTGGCAATCTCCTTCTCGTTCTCATTCACAGGTGCAAATGCTCTGGAGACCAACTCAAGGGTAGGTCACTGCTGTGGAGCTGATGGACCCCCCTGCTGCCAAAACCTTGCCACATAAAACCAATCCACCCGGCAAGAAATCCTCGTTCTTCTTCTGGCAGGAATGTTCTTGAGGGGTTGTCTCTGTCAGTCTGTCTTTAACTATGGAAATTCTATTTTTTATGCGTATATTGACATAGAAACCCACAAACAGTTCTGCTGGTGGAAACGCCTGGCTCTTTTCACTGAGAAAAGGGGCACAGACTGGAACTGGTTCATATTTTGGTTAAAGATCACCTGAAACATTTCAGTAGGGTGATCGCTTGGGAAGTTTGTACTCGCAATTTCAAATACAGTGAGGATAGTAGTTTCTGCCTACGAGTAGCTGTAAATGGGCAAACATTATTCAAAGCCATGTTGGAGTTGGAAAAGTTGACTGCATCTTTTAGAGGACCGTTTGCGTTTGAGGTCAGTTATTTTTACCATTTTGTTCTAGTTAAATATTTTTACTTGCTCTCAGAACAATAGCTCCCACCACACTGAAGCCTTCGCCCAGTGCACTAGCTTTTCATACCTCCTCCTGTAGCAATCCACGCAGCGCCCAAGGGTCTCATCTCCTTAGTTTAGCTAAATATAGACTTTTCAAGCCCTTGTATAGAGCCTAATCCATACCTTTACTAAGCTTAACAAGCTGAATCCAGTGGCATAAGCAGCTGACGCAGGTTTATGGGTAGAGGAATCCTCTACATTCTCTTATGCTTGCTCTAATCTGCCAGGGTTTGTTTAAATTTTCTACTGCTTAATCTGGGATTTTACTGCCCGTACGTACTTGACGCTGAGGACTGGATTGTTGTGATGATTTTTCCTGTCTGCAAACTTACTCTTCAGTTTTCCATGCTGTCTGCCCAGGGAGACCCAATCATTTTGTATTTTTTCAAGTAACTGTTTTATAGAAAAAAATCAGCCAAATCCGCAGTTGCTTTTACACGATTCAGAACTAATGTCCTGTTTACCAGCCTGTTCACAGGCTGAACTCACAAAAATGAGAGTTTCTCTGGCTTTGGTTGCAAAGCTTCTCTCACCCTGTGCTCTTTGGTTTGGAGGGAGCTGGGTCCCGTACGCACGCTGGTGGCTGCAACAGGATGAAAATATCGACTGAGGTTTCTGGCAGAATCTTATTTTGACAAAACATTTAGAATGGTTATGAAAAAGATTTGTTTCCATATCTTAGCTAGTTTGGCTTTTTCCAGCTTGGCTGCAGACTCAAAATGGGTTTTGTTGATGCTCTTTTCTAAAAGCAAGTAGATCTGTGGTTTGTAATCGTGATGCGTACAGTTACACATCACTATGTGCCTTGGATTCAAAAGTGGTTTCAAACCCACCTTTGTGAACAGAGAGGGTCAAAGTGTATTTTAACAGTTGCTCCTCCTGCCCCAAGTGTGCACGTGTTTGTGTGCATGCTCACGTACACCGTGTGCATGCACACACGTGCGCACCTCCCGCCAAAGTCATCAAAAGAGCTCTGAGCTCCATGGAGCCAGGTAGCTGGTTCACAACGGCGGTGACTTGCAAGGCTTAAAAAAGCATAGAAGAGGTGGGCATGCATGATCATACGTTGTCCTTCCTTTATTCATGCACCTTCCTGTCTGCCAGCAACCAGGACTTTAGGGCCTTCCTGCATCTAGACCATCACGTTTAGTACTAATTACCGGTGTATCCAACCTACATGAATTTCTCTAATTATTTAACTTGTTTGTAATTTTGGACACTGTGGTATTGTCCTAAAGAGGTTGAACACAGTGAGAATGGTTTGAGAGATTCTGTAAGTCGCTTGACAGAACTGACCCACCCTGTTGCCTTGCCTGTGGGAGAGGAGCAAGCATCCTCTCCTCTGCTTCCTATGGGTCAGAACCAACAGCTAAAACCTCTGAATTCATCTTCTTGCACCGATCGCCGCTTTGCACTGCCAGCGGGATGCAAGGAGGCTGAACGCTAACCACTTGCATGGAGATGGCATTGCCGTGGCGCGTGCCCAAACCCTTTCTCTGGCAGAAGAGATGTATCGGTGTTTTTTGCTAACTGAAGAGCACTGAGAAGGCATTTCAGGCTGTGAAGTAGAGAAACTCCAAGACAGCTCTTATTACGATGTGATCTAGCCTTGTTTGTGCGGGTGGTTATGGTGAAGCTACCTTTGTTGCCTCTCGTGGATCCTCTTGCCTAGTTGAGCTCTCATGGAGCCGTGACACGAGGGCTGTATCTCACAGCACCCAGCTGAAACTCTTTTTTCTGTGTTGCAAATGTGCCTTGCAGCCTGGGCCACTTCAGACCGAGCAAGCAGGAGCAGAATCCTGTTTGCTTTCCCTCCGTCAGAAGGAACAGTGCCATTCTGGAGTTTGATTATTTGGCTGGCTGCTCGGTGCTTCGACTGCGCCACAACTTCTTATCTTGGGTACTTCATTCCTTTGCAGTTTAGTTTTGTTTTTCCCCAGCGCTGTGTTCTGCTATTGGATTGCCTTCACGCGGCATGCCCGCAGGCTGCGCTGTATTGTTGCATATGTTGTGCCATCCAAAATAATCTCGGTGGGTGTTCTAAGCAGCTGCCATGATACAACCCATCTTCTTGGCAGCCAGAAGTGCTGTGAGCTATGTGTCTTCTTTTCCTCCTCATCTTCGTATACTGTAATAGAGATGGAACCTATGGAAGTCCTACATATGGTATACCTTGCCAAGATTGCTTCTGTACCTAGCAGCTGTCCATACATGCTTGGTAAAGAAGATGTGTTTTGTTAATTATGTGGGATGGTGCTTGGAGAACTCTATGTAGATACAAAATGATCTCCCTGGGAAAAAAAAATTCTTTGGGACTTTCTGCCACGTTTTAATGGAGGTCCACAGTGAGCTGGTAGTGGGCTTCCGACTGACACCTTTTTTAGCACCGCATTGGGAATGTAGGCTGCAAAAAATCCAGTCTGACTGTACTAGTGTAAAAAGCACCTAAGCTTTGCTTTGATATAGCCGTTAGCAGTCAGCATAGCTGCCCAGTAAATGCACAGCTTATTGGGGTTTGGTTGTTTTCATTGTTAATTGAGTGCTTGCACGTTTGGAGATGGACTCAAGCTAATGTAATATTTGCCTTCATATATTCCAGCTGCGTGGGTGTTGAAGAAGAAGAGGCACCGGATATCGACATCTATCATTGTCCAAATTGTGAGAAAACCCATGGAAAGTCTACTTGTAAGTATACTTGCACAGCTGGTCCTCGGGTGCATAGCAGATTCTGTATGTTTAAACAAAAGAAGCTTTTTATTTTTTTCATTACAAAAAGACACACCTATATATCACGTGTCATAAATATTATAATTCAAACCGTGAGGTGAAAAAAGGTGTTAGGGGGAGAAACCCATGGGTTGGATTGTGGAGCTTTGGATGCAGCTCCCTGCCTGGCCTCAGGCAGTGCGTATGAGCTAATGCAAGGCACCTTGCCTGGACAGCTTCAGTCCCCAGTCCCGGCGATGAAAATGATGCTTCCTTCCTCGCACGGAATTAAGAATTGTGAAGGCACTTAGTACTGTGGGCTAGAAAAATCCTACAGAGACAGCTAGTTCTAATAAAGTGAGTTTTGGAAACGACATGCTGGTTTTTGTCTTTGGATGAGAAGAGTAAGAAACAGTACGTTATGCTTGGCCTGGATATAAAACTGTAGCGATTTCAGTGGCAGTCAAAATTGTAGGGTGCACTGAGGGTGCCAATTCTTGCAGTTCTTTCACAGGAAAAAGTTCTCCTGAGTAAAAGTGACAGTTGATCTCAGTGGGAATTTTATCTGGGAAAGAGCTGTAGGATGTGTTTGCTTTGGTCAGATTAAGTCACAAATTCTTTCTATTACACGATGGGAAAAAAGAAAAGAAACCAATCCCTGTAAAAGATGAAATGCTTTACTTGAAAGCCATTTATTGTAAATAAGCAACAATGATGTGGAGGTTCTCACTGCTTTGCAACCTTAGAGCAACACACAGAGGAAGAGCACTGTGCTCATCTCCCAGGAGCCGAACGAATCATCATGTTCCTCTTTTTAGTGCGAAATAAGGGATGTCTGGAAACTGACTTCTGTTGTGTTAAAATTCAGTAATTTTAAAAACCAGCAATTATTTCTGCACTGCCTTAAAAGTTTAAAAATTTTCTAGGGGGGAAGGGGAGGAGTCTGAAATGTTTGGTTTGGGGGCAAAAATGGGAATCATTTTTCCACTTTGACTTTTTCCAAATCAAGTGTGAACTGGAAACGTGAATGACCTGCCGCTGTTCCTGTCTCCCAGATGGTCTGCTAAGAACTTTGGCCCGAGCAGGACACCCACAAATTGGGCAAGCTGGCAAAAAAACCCTTGGGAGGCTTGTTCTGAAAGACTTAACAAAATCAGTATGTCCCCACAAAATGTTTTGATTTAAAAGAGTCAGCCTTTCTAATGTTTTGTTGGAAGATCTCTGACAAACGCACTGGAAATTGGTCAAACGACCAGAAATCATCTTCAAGGGAACAATTTGGTATTAGAATGGGTTGTGTTGAAAAGGGGGGTATGACTGCAGATACTCCCAGGCTGTTATCGACCCAGTATAGAAGCAGCAGCACACGATTTCTAGCCTCTGTGAGTTTTGTATAACATTGAGATGCTTTGATTTCTTTCCCTTTGCTTTGAATTATGAATGATGAAAGGCGCTACTTTTCAGTGCAAGCGGAAAAAAATGAGACAGAAGCAGCAAAAGTCTATAATCAGGAATTAAATATCAATTCCATAAAAACTGTGGGGCTTAATCTTAGAACTCAAGAAATGGCAGTTTCGATAAAAAGATTACAAGTTTAATATACCAGTTAAGATGAGGAGAGTTGTATCGACAACAATCTTCTGATGCTTTAAGAAGGTTTTTGGCTATCCAATTCTTTTTATCCAAGTAAAAACCCGACTTGGCAGTACATCCCTCAGTCTGCATCGTGCAGCGTGGCAGAAAGTGCTTCTGGAGCGCTGTCGCTAGTGCTGGTCTTATCAATGTATGAGGTTATCAGTGTGGTAGGAATACAGAACATTACATAATTCTGCAGTACAGCAATACGACTTTGTTTTCTCCCTTCAAATGCACTGCAGAAAGTTTAATGACGTACAAGACCAATCATCAAAGTAGGCGAGTGTAAAAATTTCAGGAACATTTAAACACTAGTTATTGATAACCTTACCTTGAGTTTTGGTGAAGCGCAAGATCACGGGTTCTCAAGCTGCATAGCCATTTTCACCATTAACTCGTAGAATCGTGGATCCTGTTGAAAAATGAGGTTGTTATCCTGTAGCCCCTCCTTGCGGAGTGCAATAGGCCAGGAAAGTTGAAAGACCGATTAAATGAAGGCAGGAACAGCTTGGCTTAATGCGTTCATTCTGTCAGGCATTTGTATGCAGGGCGTCCTGCTACACGGCGCTTGGGCTCTGCTGGGTCTGCTGGGAGATGATCACTTTCGTTTGTTTATTAACTGTTACAATATATGTTTAAATTAGTTATCTATCAGTTTTGAAAATAAACGAGTAAGTGTTGTTCCAGAGCCAGTAGTTCACTGGTAGGATTTAATTATTGCAAGATTAGCAAAGGGCAACACAGACACCAATTGTCTGTTACGCAACTCGTCTGGATTTAAAAATATATGTGTATTTCTGGAGCACGCATTCCGCAATATATGTTTTCCAGATGTCAAATTTAAAAATCATTTTCCTCTTCTTACATTTTTCCACTTTACCAATGTGGCTTAGTGGCTACTATTTCAGAAGATTGCTTCCCGTCATATGACATTTGAAGCCATTTCAGTTTAACGAAATTTGTAGGGACTCCTCTTTGGGAAAAATTATACACATTCACACAAAATTTTCTGACATCGTTTAAATAAAATGTAAGTGCTTTGTTTAGGCAGAATTGACTCATTTTCATAACACGATCTGAAATGTTCGGTTTGATTGCTGTCTCATTTGCAGCAGTGAAAATCAGGAGAGATTCTTCGCAATCGGTGAAGTTACATAAATGCAAGCAAACCAAAGTCAGGCTGAAACTGTTTTTAAGTAGTTACAACCTTTAATATGAATCAACAGAGAACTAACAGGGTGCTTCTAGGTATCTCTTCTTCATAACACATTTGAAATAATGTGAGTGTACCTTTGAAGTCTAGAATTACTCATTTTGAGATACAGTTTTCATAAAAATACACTCCCTTTTTCCTCTGGGGGGGTTTCTGTAGAAGGAGTGGGTTATACTTTCCAACGGTCAAATTTGGATCAGAAGGTTCTGCAGAAAAAGAAATCTGCAACCATTTAAGAAAAAGTGGCCTTTCTGGCCGAAGCTAGTATATGTTGCACATGCTAATGGGCCTTTAACCCTTACTGTGGTGTTCGTGGTAAAGATGAAACATAAAGAGAATGGCTGAAAATGGGCCAAATGTTGATTGTTTGATGTAGTATAATGGGCTACAGCAGCCGGCTTGCTGCCGTCCAGGAGATAGCACCTCCTGGGGAGCGTTCTGGCGGCAGAGGCATCTCCGTTGCCTCTGCGTGAGAGGTGGATGTGAGAGGTGGATGCTTGCCGGCGCTCAGAGCCGAGCGAAATAGCTCCCTGGTGCTTTTTGAAGGGTTGCAGTGAATTTCTTAATTCAGCACTGATTTGCCACTTTTATTTCTCGACGCTCCACGCTATCTGAAGTGTAATAAAAGAACACGCTAATATGATAAGCTCTTTAATTTTCACTGTGGCAGGCGACACCTGTTTCACTGGGACTTGTGCGAAGAGTGCCAGCGTTGGTTCGGATCTGCTGAGAGGGGGAGGAGGCAGTCGTTGGAAAGGGAAGGAGAGGGGGAAGGTTTGGCATTCATGTAGGGCTTGTTTCCTTTGTTACCAGGAGCATTGAATTAATACACTAAGCTTGAGAGTCATTAAGATAAAGAACTAGCAGCTTTAATGAATATATCCAGCTAGGCTGGAGAGCTGCATGGAACTAATAAAACCAACATGCTTTGTGCAAAACCTGGGATGGATTCGTTGGGAGATGTCTTTACTTGAGTTATTCCAGGGTTGCGGTCAGGAAAACAAAGTTAGCTTTTTCCAAACCTCATGTCTTATAGCTGTGGCCTCCGGATTCCTTTCTTCATGAAAAAGTATGTGGATCTGTGTGTGTGTGCATGTGCAAAGAGCAAGGAAAGAGTGCCATCCATGCATGGTTACTGAGGAGTCTGGTTCCTTCCCTAGCTGTTTTGAGCAGTAAGAAAAGCCTGAGATCTTGATTTTGGGGTAAAATACTGAGTTTCATGATTTAAAACAAGGGTGAAAAATAAAAGAAAGTTGTGACATACGAAAATTCTACTAACGGAGGCTTGAAATGGTATGAATATGTACTTGGGACGAAAACAATTTACTACTAAAATGAGCATGTTTGGACAGACTGTAGAAGTAGGAACAGCTGAGAGAGAGAGTGCTGACTAAGAGAAAAAGCTGGACCAGTTTTTCTTGCTCTGTGTTATCTGGCTGTCAAAGAGGCAAGGCAGAACTACATTGACATTTGACGTACTTATTTGTGCTTATTCCAGCCGACCCTTTTTCCATGATGAACTTGCCTATATGTCTCACCCACTGGGAGCACAGTCGAGGGGCCTTCAGTCTGCTGTCATCAACTTAAGGCCTAAGCCTGGCTCGCCTTTCAAAACCTAGGAATAAGAGGAGTTCTAAAAATTGCATTTGTGGTGCCCTTGCATCTTCTTTTTTTTTCTTGTCTTTTTCCTTTTATGTGCATGCTGTGTGCAGGGCATAATTCAAAGCCCATCAAAATTGATGTCAAATCTGCCACTGCTGGACAGACCTTTAGACTAAGGTAATTCATGACAAATATATTCATAAAGATCTATACTGCATATTGAGAAGGCAGAAAAGTGGCTTTCTAAGAGTTTTATGATAAGGTTTAAGTGTGTAGTCTGGCAAGTACAAAACGTCCAGAGCCTGTGTTTGCATAAAGCCTGCGGTAGCTGTGCAGCTCAGTAATTATCCGTCTGGTTGCCCTTATGTTACAAAACGAACACTGTTCAGTATGTAATAGATCTTCAGGCTACAGTGTAATTGTCTAATGGAGAATTGAGAGCAGTATTAAAATTTGCAGTGCAGCATAGTTGGGGGTTCCCTCTTCTCTGCTCGCGTAAGAAATGAAATGAAGATTTGTCCTTCCTTCAGATGTCTTAATAATTATCTTCTACTTAACATACGGTACTGTCCAATTCATTCTTTTTCAGTGAAAAAGAAAAGAAATTGGCATAAACACGATACTGGACAGACGACAGAGGTCAAACCTGTACAGAATGGGAGCCAAGTCTTTATAAAGGAACTTCGAAGTCGTACTTTTCCAAGGTAGGTTGTTCAGCTGCACACGTGGACAGGGCTGTGGAGGTAAAGCATACATAGCCGGTTTCCTGTGAAGCTGACGATGATCCTTGCTGAAAGCATTATATAGCACAGAGCGATGAAGTTTAAATGAGTGCTGTTTTATTGCAGATGTCCCAGGCTCTTCCCTTTTTTATTTTTGTGCAGCCATATTAAGATCTACTCTTGATTGAGGCCAGTTCTTGTGGATTTCCGTAGAAGCTAGCATTTGTGAAGACAAGAACAAGAATGTGTTTGGCCCCTACAACGTTTGCTTGCATAAGAAACTAACCAATTTATTGCATAGAATTATCCAGTTCTCAAAAATACTAATGGTTTTGCTGAATTCTGTCTCCATCTTCAAAAGAAGAACAATGACATCCTCAGTTGCTACAGTGACAAAGGCTCTCTTATTTGGGGTAATGAATAGTGCTAATTGTTAGGTGACATGTTCCACACTTTATTAGGCTGCTTCACAGCCATTTGTAGAGTCATGATTTTCTTCTAGTTCTTTAATGTAGGCCTTAGCCAAATAAATCCTTAATTATTAATGACTAATTATTTTAGAAAAAACCTTGGAGACTTGTAAAGTGTACTTGGTAAACACAAAACTTCTTCCTTTTTATGGAGAATTTAATTTCACATTTAATTTCAGATACTGATCTTAGGCTGATTAAGGAAAAGGCTGAAAATACCTCTGCAAAGCACTTGCAGCACTTACAGATGCGTTTCACTGAACTCAGGACCCAGTACTTTTACTTGCTTGGCTATTTTTATTTGGGCCTGCTAGATTTTTGTCTTCGCCTCTTTTTTTTTTTTTTTTTTTTTTTTTTTACAGAGCAGTTTGGCAGATTGCAAAGCTGATTTCTTAAAAAAAGTTTAAGGCCTAGGCAGAATGATTTCAGTAACCTCGGATGGCCTCTGAGATTGCACTCACATATGCGGTATCTCTGAGTCACTCCCAAATTGTAAAAAAAATATGGACCTCTATTTTTTTTGTTTGTTTCTCGCATAAATGTGCACATAAGAAAATCATGCTGCCAAATTAACATTTCTGAGAAAGAAGAGTCTGTAGCCAAAAGGAGTGCCTGCAAGATTCAGGCCTCTGACATCTACACTTGCGCCATTAGTAAAGCAAAGTCTTGTTGAGAAATTTTCTCTTCTGAAGAAAATGAATGAAATCTGCAGATGTTCACAGAACAAAACCCAACGCTCGTCAGTCAGAATGTGATGAACGGAAAAAGGGGGTCTCAGTTCAGAGACAGAAACATCATTGCTGATTCACAGCACACGGCAGTGAATTATAACCCACGGTTAGTCCCTTGGTGAGGCTCGGATCAAAAGGAACAGTGAAGAGAGCAAAAAGGCAAAAAATATAATTCATGTCGTTCTGCTCCTGAATGTTTAATACCAAAATAGCATCAGAGTAGTAATAGTAGTAGTAGTAATAATTAAATTGATGGTTCAGGTACTTCAGTGTGGGTGCCAGACTCTCCATTTTGGCACGATCGTTACTAGATGCTCTGGTACTGATCTCTCTTTACAACTATGCGTAAGTTTCCGTGGCGCATATAGAAGCAAATCAGACTTGAACAAGTATGTGACATGTATATGGGCACTGTAAAGTAAGTGCAGAGGTTTAGTGGTAAATCATGGTTTGCTTCTTGCTCCTTAAAATCTCTAGCCTCGTTCTTTGCACGTCGCTGGCGTACGGTACCGGTGCTCACATAAATGAGGAATGCTCCTTTTTAATAATTATCAATTTGCCTCCTGATCAGCCGTTGCCGATGCACTGTGGCTGGGGTGACCCAGAAATAAGCTGTGTTTCTACAGCTTATCCCTCTTTGCGTCCTGGCCATCTTGTTCTCCCTGGGGTTCAAACCTCCTGCCTGGCGTATCCCCGCCGGGGCGGCCTGAGCCATCCCAGGGCGAGGGGATCGAAGAAGGAGCCCCCACAGCAAAGGGTGTCGGGGGCTCTGCCGCAGGTTGGGCTTCACAGGGTGGCGAAGGCGGGGAGGCCCGAGTGTGCCGGCCGCCATGGCGGCGCTCGCAGCCTCGTCCCCTTTCCCGCCGGTTTTTGGTGCCGTATGAAGACATGAGCTGTAGTTCAGAACTGCTGCAGGAGAGGGCAGTCATGTATTAGCCTTACCCGCTCGGGGAGGTAGTGCTTTTTGGGGTGAACGCTAAATTTTTTTCATGCTCTTCTTCCCCCCCCCGCCGGCAGCCGTGGCCCCGGCCTGCCGGGCGGTTTTCGGAGCCTGGCTGACAAACCACACACGGCAGCAGGGCACTTTTGGGACTGATGGTCGTTCATATACAGTCACTTTTCACTCTGAATTGAAAGCGTTTTACTCTTGAAAAGATCTAGAAATCGGACTTGAATTCCCCTTGAGAGTTGTCGGTGAAATAGCTGGTCATCTGATGAAGCTGCCTTTTCCTTAGTCCCTTTGACACCCTCCCAGCGACTTGAAAATTATTTGCAGAACATTTCCTGAGCAATTTATTTGACTACTTAAAATCGATTTGCAAAGTATTTCCTGGACAATTTATTTGAGATTATGTAACGTTTTTAATCTTGCCTGCTTTAGAGTGGAATATTTAACACTAATTTCTTTAACATTGATCACTGGTAACTCAACAGATCCCTATAGTTGAGGAAAACGGTCTTTCTCCGTAAGCTGTTATTTTAGGAGTTTCCAGTAGTTGGTGCATGAGGCTCCAGCGAATCAATTCCAGATTATTTTAGTGTGCTTTGCAATAAATGGCTTTTGTCTTATGCACCTAATTTGCATATAATTGCTTATTCATAACTTTTTCCTTTCAGTAGTGAAATGCAGAAGATGCCAAACTCTGTGTGGAAGCACCTCACCATTGAATCTGTGTTTACTTTTTCAGTGCTGAAGATATAGTCGTGAAAGTGCCAGGCAGCCAACTAACAACAGAGTATTTGGAAGAAAATGGCTTTGCAGAGCCCATCCTCGTCCCAAAGAAGGATGGCCTGGGTTTGTCCGTACCCGCACCCACCTTCTACGTCAGCGATGTTGAAAACTATGTTGGTGGGTATCTGGCAAGCAGGTGGCTTTGTACTGTTTAGAGCTCAGCTGCTTTTTAAAAAAAATATATAATTTGTTTAAAAAAAAAAAGTAAAATATATTGTAAAATATTGTCTGTGTCTTGAGCTGTGCTGACTTCAATATTTGTTATGTAGTGGTAGCTTTAATTAGCAATTAATTCACTCTTGTTTTTTGTACCAACTTGTGTATCTTACAGTGAGCCTGAGCCAGACTGCATTGTACTCCATAGCGCTGCATTAAAAGAAGCAGTCATAGTAGTATTAAAAAATTGTTTCTTCAGGGCAGGTCTTAATTGATTACTGCCATCTCACTTTGTATTGAAGGAATTACTAGACTGAGACTCCCACTCTGCAAAGGCAGTACATTTTTTAACACTGCTGTCAGTCAGAGCTATTTTCATGGCTGCTGGTCATTTGGATTCATTTTGGCATCCTCCTGTCTCTAACCTGAGCAGGGTATTGTACTGCATCTTCTCACAAGTCATCGCGTCATCCCACCTGGGAAGACATACCTTGGCCAGGAGCCATGGAAGTGCTCTGAAGTCGCTTGTCTTGTCTCCGCATCCTTCTTCCTTTAGCATGTATGATCTTGTGTCCTGTCCTCTCTCGCTCCGTCCCTCCTCTGTGTCACTTTCTGTCTGATTCTCTCTCCTTCCAGGCAAGGCATCGTCCTTGTGGAGCCGTGACTCCAGCTCCAACGTATCTGTCTGCGTTTCATGGTCCCTTTATCTCCTTATATAGTCTCCTAACCGCCCTCTCCTCCTGCACTCTCCTTACCAGGCCATTGACCTGTTCCCCAAACTGCTATCACCAGCCACTGGTGTTCTTGACTGTATCTATTGCTTTTGCAGTGATTGTGTGCAGTGAGATAACTATGAATAAAGGAGAATTCAAGACCCCTGATTTTATTGTTCTCCCTATCCCGTTGCTTCTACAGGAAACATATTTTCCTTGCCCATCTGCTACACTTAGCAGATTTTCTTGTATGACCTAGGTGCTCCTCATGCATCTGCTGGCTTTCTCTCAGCCTCTAGCTGAAATAACCCACCCTACCAACAAAACAGTTAGTGAAGAGCTGGAGGGGAAGAACACGGGTTGTTTAATCTGGAGCTGGCACCAGATTTGAAAGCGAACGGAACAAATACGCGCTGGTCTAACCTCCATGGGGTTAGTTTGCTTGAAACGGGATTTCCCAGGCAGGGATTTAGCTTGCTGTTTTGTATTTTATTACGTTGGACCTAGAATGTCTTCTAGAAACAATCTAAAGTAAGTAGCAGAGGACAAAACACCACAACCAAGACCGCAAAATACATCATTACTGTTCTTGGCATTCCATGAAAAAATAAATTGATTTTTTTTCCCTCTCCTAATGTGCAAAAAGCAATGAATGAAATGCTGGGAGAGGAAAAATAAGACCAATTAAAATTAAAGGGAAGAAAGACTGGAGAGATGCTTTTCTTGCAGAAAGGATAAGAGAGTGTGCTTAGAAGTGGGCACTCTTTGTAAAGCTCTGACTTTCTCCATGTGTTCTCTGGTGTGCCCAGTGTTAAACTCCACTAATTGACTAATACTGTTAGTATTAACACTGGAGATTTGTATCCAACAAGGTCTGTCACATGAAATGTATAAGTACTAGCAGCTTATTCTCTGTACTCTAATACAGAGGGGATGGATTTTTGATAGGTGTAATTTTGGGTAAAATAACAAAAAGTCAATTTTTTTGTGGCACACCTGAAATATCATGTTAAAAAATGGGAATTTGCCTGCAAAACTCCTCCTCGATTATAGATTTCGTAAGCAAAAATTTCAAATAGAGCATAAGAGAACTTACAATTTTGGAAAATCAGTTTGACAAGGTATCCTGTACAGTATTACACTCTCGTCTATAATCACGAGACTTTTACAGCATGGTGGGTAAGGCTTACTCTGTGGATATACAGGTATTTGCATGTAATTTTCACCACACAAGTAAAATCCATAATGGAATTAAAAGATTCAAAATAACATTAATCCTTTAAAGATAAAAACTACAGAAATAATTATGTCAGGGGCATGAATACAAAAGCACCATTTTATGCATATGCATTTGATACATATATGTATATGTGCATACGTGCATAAACAACAGGGAAGATACAAAGGCTAAGAAGATCAGAAAATCAAAAGATTGAGATGTTTCTCAAAATGTTAACCCCAAGCATACAAAATGGGGCAAGTCAGGCTGCCCTTCAATCTCTCTTTTTCATTGAATTAATTTTTAGGACCGGAGAGGAGCGTTGATGTCACCGATGTCACCAAACAGAAAGACTGCAAGATGAAGCTCAAGGAATTTGTGGATTACTACTACAGTACAAACAGGAAAAGGGTCCTCAACGTGACCAACCTGGAGTTCTCGGACACGAGGTAAGAGTCCAGCCTGCTGCACCACGCACTGTCCGGGATACATAGCGGGGTTTGGCTGGGAGAGTTTGATCAGCCTCTGCCTTCTCCAGTGGTTCCCTCTTTAGGAGGTACTGCTTTAACCATGGGATAGCGGCTTCTCGTTGCTCTGACTCTCCGCTGCATCGTCCATATGCGGCCAGTTCAGGCAAAGCACGGAAATGAAAGTGCTATTTGCTACGTGAGGAGAATGGTACCTCGTGGACTAAACAGGCCAGCATTTGTCATGGTAATTCACACCTGCATATCATCAGCATTCATGTGCCATCAGCCTTCACATATCAGAACAGAACATCTTGGCACCTTTCAGTTTTATTTTAACTCTAGTAGTATAGGTATAGTTAATTCATTGCAACTAGATACTAGCGATTTATAACTAGAACGTAACTTGATGCTCCAGGAGCAAATTCTCTGCTCTGTCCTGGTAGTGAATGATGACGCAGTATGTTCCTAGTATGATCTTAGGTACTTAGATACAGCTTGACAAGTACTGGTAAGACCAAAGAAAGGAGGACAGAGATGACGACAGAGGTGTGATAAAACTGTATGTGGGTTTGTGGGAGAACATGGACATTAGGGGTCTTATTTTTTAATATTCTGTGTTATTTTTCTGGTGAGATGGGAATCCTGATGGACATAAGGCAATGACAGCCCTTCTTCCAGCTTGAGGTGATCCTGAAACATGGTGATCTCCTCGGAGCATTCTTTTTTAAAACGCGTTGTACAGCAGTGAGCATCCTACTTGTATAGCACTGGTTTGAGTGCATCATGTATTGCTTACTGCAATCTTCCATTTAAAGTAGGGGAGAGTAAGTGAATCGACGGGGTGTGGCTCTAGGTATAGCGTAACATGTCACTGGCTGTCCTTGAATGAGAGTAAGTTTGAAATTACTATAATTTTGTAATGCTATACCACGCGTTACAGTTTTAGTTTCAGTGCTTCTGCGAGTTAACCTGTAATCTGTATGACAGCAGTTCAGAACTAGAGTGATGCTGACTTCTTGATGGAAAGTTGCGGGATGTGACGGTACAGATTAGCTCTGAATTTGAGGCTGAGGTGCTTTAGTGATGCAGTGAGCCAGAGGTAATGGTGCTGGCTATGTGAATATCACCAAACCTCAATGACAGGAAGCCTACTAGTCTCCTCATGTTTTATATTACATGCTTTATATATAGGATAATTAGCTGATGTAAATGCCTAGAGTTCAAGTTGCTGCTTTGTGCTTTAAATAGCTGAATTCATCACCTGAGCTGTGCTTTTATTCCAGAAGTCGGCAGATGCATCGATAATGTATTGAACTTCATGCAACTGTGCAGATCATTTTTACAGTTCTTGTAATCCTTCTGGGTAGCTAGTACTTCTAGAAGGGAAATGTCAGAGAAGGAAAAGATTCCTTTATATACAAACGCTACACAGAAGATGATGGGTGTCAACATAAAAATAAAGAATGGTTGTTTTGGGGAGCATTCCGTTTTAGCAAGAAGACTTAAAATAGCCTTAAAAAAGAAGGCTGATGAATAATTAAAAGCTCATTTTTTTAAAAGCCATTACCTTTAGCCCTGTAGTTAGTGTTTTAGTAGTGCACACCCATTTCTGCAGAAAGCATCTCTAGTAATTACAGCCTTCAAAGATTACCAGTATCTTCAGCTGAGATTTTTTTAGCTTTCTGCCATTATCCCAGAATAACGTGAGGTCTTTTGTTCTGAAGGACTGCTGGAGCTGTCACTCGTATGCTGCTAATTTAGACATTAACTAGCAAATATTTTATTTCTTAACATACACTGAGACACTTTAATTGAATGCACTGCTCCATCTTTCCCTGCCATTTTAAATGGAGCTATTGTTATCAGTGTTTGACAGTGAGCATAAATGACACATGGGAGCATTTAATTTTAGTTTGAAGTGCAGATACTCTTACTGACGTGATATTTTAGAGCGTCCAAGAGTGAACCTCCACCCCCTGCAAATATTAGTCCAAATTTTGGACTATTTAAATATAAAATTTAGCACATTCTGGGACGAAACACTTTTAATACCATGCCACTACATCGTCTTAGCTGTGATTTATAGTATATATTACATATTTAATATAACATAATATATAAATTATATAAGTAAATATATACGATATGAATATCTGCTCAATGTAAATAAATATACTCATTTGTATAAATTATATAAATAAACATTACATATGTTTTATTTTAAATATATTCGCATTATCAACCCAAATCAGACTTTTTCCTTCTTCTGAGCTCTTAATGTAATTTAGTCAGTCTAAATAAAAAGATCACTGTGTTTTTCAGCATCAGATCGAGACTTATTTAGTCCTTAAGTATTAATGTTGTTGTTATTAGGATTTTTAATACTAAGCTTAACTTGCAAATTTTTAAGATTTGCCAGACCATTTATGTAAGAGAGCACATGTTTCACTTTCTCTTCTGAAGGGGGCTGGAAAAGTGGCTGGGATAACGGGGGTGGTGTAACTGACCCTACATAGCAAGAGGCAGGGACTGGAAAAATACAAACAGCGTATACTTGATCGTAAATGCTGCTACTGAAAGAAGTCAAAGGATCGTTGCTAAGTCATCATACTTAGAAAGCCTTTGTTTTCACAAGTTTTCACAATTTTTCTGAATGAAGAGCAGTTCCACTGACACGTAAGGAGCTGCTTCAGATTGCCATGCGAGCATCAGAGTCGCACTCCGCTTTTTGTTGTATCAGTCCGTATGCTCTTTTTTAAAAAGACGCGTGTTTGTTTTCAATTCTCTCTGTAAAGGATGTCCAGTTTTGTAGAGCCTCCAGATATAGTTAAGAAGTTGTCCTGGGTGGAAAACTATTGGCCTGATGATGCTCTTCTGGCTAAACCAAAAGTTACCAAGTACTGCCTGATCTGTGTGAAGGACAGCTACACAGATTTCCACATAGATTCGGGAGGAGCTTCTGCGTGGTACCATGTGCTGAAGGTGAGGGGTCATGTTTTTGCGGTGTATCTAGCAATGAACTAAGTTTTACATGCAAATACCATCTTAAAATTCTCTCAGAAATTCAGGTCTCAGGTGTTTTTTCCCCGCGGTCCTGTTGTATCCATAAGAAATATGCAGAGCCTTAACTGCTGTAAGTGGGTACGCTCTCAGCAGTGCCAGGGTCTGCTGAGCGAGAAAGCCACTTGGAGGGTGGAAGCTGTTTGTGTGTTTTCACTGTATTTGGATTTTAATATTTGTTTAGTGCCTTCTGCACATACGTCGCCTGTATGGGCGACCTGAAAGGGTTTTGCAGGATAATGCAATCTGGCACTGTAAACTTTTTGCAACACCAGTCCCTCAAATCTGAGCAAATGTGGTCGGCTAGTGGTTTAATTATTTCAGCCATTCTGTACAAAGCTGACGAGTAAATTTTATTTCAATAGTATTAAAATATGTAATGCTATATATTTCTTTAGACAAATATTTGTGTGTGTGCGTATGTGTGCATGAATCTGTGCCAGTGCAGCAGTGCTTGGTTTGGCTGCTTGTTACTAATTTTATATCTTCTAATTCAGGGAGAAAAGATATTTTATCTCATCAAACCAGCCTCTGCAAATATTTCTCTTTATGAACGCTGGCAATCGGCAGCAAACCACAGTGAGATGTTTTTTGCAGACCAAGTAGATAAATGTTACAAATGCACAGTTAAACAAGGACAGACACTCTTCATTCCATCAGGTGAGCACGCTTTTGCAGGTGAGGTTTCCTGCCCGTTTTAGAGCTGCTGAAATAGCATGTCCAAAACGCTAGAGGGATGTGATTTGACCACTTTCTCTGACAAAGTATGAAGTCTAATTCTCAGTAGAAGTATAATTTCATGTGCTTACAAAAAAAAAATCAGAATTTTTAATGCTTTTTATCAATATTTTCGCACCCTTTTAAAAATACAACTAGTGGGTACAATGTTCCACTCTTGGTCTAGCTGGGTTGCAGTAACTCATGAGTTCTCTCTCTATATCCAACCATGACATAGGTGCTTTTTGCCATCTAACAGAGAATTCACATTGAATTACTTGCTGACCATGACTCCCACAAAATCCTTTTCATGGTCATTGATTCCCTGTGACACTAAGGAACTATAGGTGCCTGCACGAGTGTGAGTGTGCATTTATGGTTTCACATGAGGCTGAAGACCTGTTGTCACAGATTTTTATGGGTTCCTTGATAGACTTGGGCTTTCATTGCAGGTTAGGGATGGTGGATTTTGTTTTTCTCAGTTCCTGGGACAGTCTTCATAAGGATAGGGAGTTGATGAGCAGATAGTGCAGAGTTTTAAGTGAACGCAGTTCTACTCCTGCCCCTGTCCCTCACCTTCCTCTCACCATGAGCAATTATTTCCTCATTTGCATTGCTGTTTCCAGCACTCCCTGTTATCTGTTGAAATTGTAATCTCTTTGGGACAGGGATTTTCTCTCCCTCTATGTGCCTTTAAACGATGCACTGCCCACTCGATCCATAATCTGGGTTGAGGCTTCCAGGCGGTGTGAGTAACAGCACTTGTGTTTTGGAGGCAGCATCCAGTAGTGCCATTTTTCTGTGTATATTCTTGCACAGAATGTTTACACACTTGAATTTTACTTTGACTGTAAAAAGTGGAAAGTAGGTATTTCTCTCATGACCATATGTGGAGCAGATGGTGGAATAAACACCGAGCAATTTATAGAGATTCACTAATTTAAGTAGATTTTTGTATGAAAATAAGTGTTTGGAAAACACCTGTTCCTGGCACTACAATAAAGTCAGCGTCAGGAGCTGTCACAGATTTTTATGGTGATGTGAAAGCAGCTACCATTCTGTAGCTGCTGCTGCTTTTCACAGTAACAAGAAAGTAATGTCAGTGTGAGCAGCATGGCCCCTTTCACCGTCGGCCACTGTTGAAGGTAGTCCTGGGACTGGGAGTCAAAGGGGCATAGCACCTTCCTGGGCTGGGCCTTTGTTGTGCAAAACAAACAAGGGGCCAGATGCAACTTTGTTCAAAGCATATGCGGTTCTGGTCCTGACTTGGACTGAAGAGCTGTATTGGTACCTAGGAAGTAAGTTGCTAAGTGAAGTGTAAAAATCATGTTGTGAATAAAGTCTTTGTTACTGTGATTCCAGTTTTTATCCTCAGGACTCTTCTCTTTCTCTTTTAGGTTGGATTTATGCAACTCTAACACCTGTAGACTGCCTGGCCTTTGCAGGACATTTTCTACATAGTTTAAGTGTTGAAATGCAGATGAGGTAATCTGTCTTCAAATCTAAAGTTAGGTAGAGGCTCAGTTTTTAATAAATTGGCCATCCTCTCTCCTATTAATTAGCCTACATTTGCAGTAACGTTGATATAGCTCTATTGGGCAATTTTGGAAAGTGTACCCATGTTTGTCCCCTTCGACTGTGTTCTCCCGTGCTGAGTTACTCCAAGCTGTCTTTACACCTATTGCATAGCGCATGGAAGGATATGTGAGGTGCTTGGGTTGACGTGATAGGACGAGAGGAAATGGCCTCAAGTTGCACCAGGGGAGGTTTAGATTGGATGTAAGGAAAAATTTCTTTACTGAAAGAGTGGTGAAACATTGGAACAGGCTGCCCAGGGAAGTGGTGGAGTCCCCATCCCTGGAGGTATTTAAAAGACGTGTAGATGAGGCGCTTAGGGACATGGTTTAGTGGGCATGGTGGTGTTGGGTTGACGGTTGGACTCGATGATCTTAGAGGTCTTTTCCAACCTCAATGATTCTATGATTCTATGATTCTATGACGTGGCCAAGTCCTGAAGAACTGTTAAAAACTGTCGGGAGTTTTACCCTAGAACATGCCATTTGCCTACTGGATAAGCCCCCACCTGCTCAGCTGGGTTCTTTGCCCAGTGTAAGACAATATAAGTAGTTCTTTACTGATGCTGGACAAATAATGCAATAAAACTGTCTTACATCTGTATCGCACAGTTTCTTACTAGCGTTATTTTTATGTTTTGCTTTTGGTCTGAATACAAGGTAGCAGCACAAAGAAATGAAGCACTGCAAAATGAACCTCGGGTATTTATGAGCAGTGCTTGTCACTGTGCGACATACTTGTGACCCACTATGCTTTAAGTTCATGTGGCTTTGTATTGCAGGGCATATGAAGTAGAAAGACGATTGAAAATTGTCAGTCTGACCCAGTTTCCAAACTTTGAAACAGCATGTTGGTATATGGGAAAGCATCTACTAGAGACATTCAAAGGTAAAACTGCATTTCTTTGCCTGCCTTAATTGCTTAGCTTTGGGGGCCTGAAAATAGTTACTCTTAATTTCTGCTGATGTGTTATGTAGAACATGAACAGGTGGCCAAAGTCAGTCTTGTTAGTATTTGAAAACTACTTTTAACATACCAGCAGAACATGCTGGTCTCGTCCAGCTCTCCCCTTAATGTCCTGCCATCTTGCTCTAGGAAGGACCTTAACTGTCCCTCTTACCTATGCCTAAGGCAAGGTTTCATCTTATTTATAAAATGTATTTAAGTTGCCTCAGAGGCAAATAATGTTGTAACTTTTTTTTTTAGTTTTTAGTTGCCTGTCAAGACTGGATTCATTCCCTGTTTTAGCCTAGTGAACTACACGCTCTGTCAGCCCAAGGCATAGGGTAGCACTTCCTTCTCCCATCATTCTGCTTGATACCGGTTGAAGTATGTGGGCAGGTCGCATATACACGGGGCCACAGGAACATCAGAGATGTGGCCAGCAGGAGCACTGAGAATTAAAGCAAAGTTTTCTGTGAAATTCAAAATCTTCCCGATCAGATTCCTTCAGAGTTGATCCAAACATCCATGCATGTATGTTCTTTACAGATTTGGTCTCACTTTGCTCTTTGCCTCTATTTCTCTTAGTACAGAACGTTTCTAGAGACACCCGCCAGATCCTTTCATAGTGAGAAAAACGTGTCTAATTAATAAGCAAGGTGAGGGGTCCCTCTGAGTGTTGCCTGGAAGGGGGCCCCCTTGCGACCGACTCTGAACAAAAGCTGGAATGAAAAAGAGGGGAAAAGTTTAGGCAAGCTTGAACTCATGCAGGAGTGAAATGCTTTGCCCAATATAACCTTTGTTTCCACGTATTGGTACTTGCTTTTTCAGTCAGAATAAAAGAACCGCTGACGGTGCCTTTTTATTCCCACAGCCTAGGATGTATGAACATGGAAGCTAGCTTGAGTATGGGACCAAGAAAGGAACCGGAAGGATTGCCAGTGTAGACATAACTTACAGGAGCAGAGAGTAGGAAGGCTGAGTTGGATTTATGACACAGTAAATATACTCCTTATTACCATCAAGTTATAATAGGGATTAATTTGTGGTGACCAGCTTTCAAAGAGTTAACTTTCACAGTTAAACTTTTTCAAACTAAAGACTTTATGTGAAACAACTGTAGCTAGCAGTGTTTGAATGGCATTGTTTTTTTCCTATACTTAGGTTTGCATAAAGCTGGGCAACAACCTCCTGCTCATTTACTCCAAGGAGCAAAAATTCTCAATGGTGCTTTCAGGTCATGGACTAAAAAACAGGTAGGAGAAGCAGCCTGTTTTAATATTGTGTGTTCCTCAGGTTTGTCAGTCACTGGAACAGAGAGCAAATGCTAGAACAAATAATATCTCCATAGCAAAACCGCTAATTCTAAAATCCCAAAGAGAAAGGACGGGGAGAACGGGGAAGGAGGGCAATAGCTGGGATTTCATAGTGCCACATGAGGAGTCAGCAGAAAAAAAGGTACCACCAGAGTTTTAAAAAAGTCAATTCTGCACATGGCCAAAAGGATACTGAATGAATGTTCTCCCTGACTCTGAGCATTTTCATGTGCCAAATCAATTAAGCAGAGGTTGTGTATGCGAGCGAGGCCTAGAACAACGCCTGCATTTTTGTGTGCACAAGGTGCCCAGTTCCTGCAAATCAACACATTAATTGAGCCAGGAAAGACATATTGGTTGGAGAGAAGGCTTAAAGGGGTTTGCAGCCTGAATTTCCTGCTGCAGTCATTTCAGAAGTGTTATTCTTGCTGTGTTGCTCCTAAAGTTCTGGGGAATGGGCTGCGGGAGACAGGCCATTCAATCGTAAAACATGAACAGGGGAACTAGCAGCTTTAGGATTTTCAGACGTTTTAAGAAGGGATGAGCAGGTGAGTACACAGTGTTGCATACAGTTAGGTCAGTTAGGTGGCTGTCCCAGATTTAAATGTAGTCAGAGACTTGGCTGCTCCCTACTGCAAAAAGCCAGTGCTTGAGCCTGAATTCGGAATTGCTCCCTGGTTTCCTGCAGAAGGACTGACTGGTGTGGAAGCTCTCTTCTCCATGTCACCCTGTTTATTTTTCCACTTGCCATGCAGATGAGAAGTGGTGAGTCAAAGGAAGTGACTGTGTTGGCGTTTAGGTAAAGTTGAACTTTGAATATTATAACATGACATGTGACTGCAAATGTTGTTAGTCCTGTCAGGGAGCTCCCAAAGCACTCCGCTGACAAGGTATATGCCTGTTATACTCATTGAAGACACCAGCTAAGACAATCTCTCCTTGTAGATGTAGAAATTTCTCACAGAATCTCATATAAGGGGGTGAGCAAAGTGATGTTACAGTTGTGAAAATGCAATAATATCTGGAAAAGACTATTGACTTTGTTGTTCTCTCAGGACAAGTATTTACAATAACATCCAGAAGGGGGAAGAAGTAAATTTTTTCCTTATTTGGACTACTGATGCAGTCAGTATTGATTTCAGTACATAGGAAAAATATTGATGTGTCACTTAATGAGGTTTTTTTTATATTTTTGCAAAAAACCATGCACAGAAACAGCAGTCTGGCTTTGTTCTGTTTTAGGCTTTAGCAGAGCATGAAGATGAACTACCAGAAAACTTCAAACCAGCACAACTTATCAAGGACCTTGCCAAAGAAATAAGATTAAGTGAGGTCTGTGCTCTTTTCATAATATTAACTATATTGTGGGTCTTTTAATAATCCAGGCTATAAAATGGATGACTTGAAATAAATGAATCTTTTTTCCCACTCTCTTCATTAAAAGAATTAATGTGAGGTTTCGCAGCAGGGGGACTGCTCAGGACTCTTGTCTGTGGCTGACTCGCCACATATTCTGGGCTCCTGTTTGCTTTCTCCTCAGCTTTACGCTGTGTCTGCCTGTCCTACACCCTTCCTCCTCCACCTTCTCCTAGGCGGACTGGCCACACTCCCCTCTCCATCCTTATTTTCTCTTTCACTTCAGCAACCCCCGACCCAAAAATGTGATCGAACTCAAAGAACACTGTTGCCATCCCCGTGATCATGCTCCCTATGTAGTATCTCATTTTCCTTATGTTCATGGGTCTTGTCTGTGACATTGTCTGAGCTTGGGACTATTATTCTGTACATTGTCCCAATAGGAAGCTTTGCTCTTGGCTGGCTTCTAGGTAGAGTTTCTATAGCAAATGCGATAATAATTATACTGCCCCCCCCCCCAAAAAAAAAAGGAGGTTGCATGGAGGTGTCATCCATTAAGTCTGGTATCATATTCCACTTAGTGGAAATGTGTGACAGTGCAAGGTGACAATAGCTAGTTCAGTTGTTTTAAGAAGACATTGTACTACATTCCACCCCTTTTCTAACTATATCCAAAGACCTCAAAATTGAAATCTGTCTTGTCCTTTTATCCTCTTTGATGTAGTATGTAAGTTTTCTGATTGTCAGAATGGCAAGTTAAGCACAAAATAATTTCTTTTTAATTAGTCAGGCTGTGTTAATTTTAATTGGGCGGCTATTTTACTGCTTATTTTTCCTGAGGGCATGAAACATGATTCTGTTACATTTATCACATCTGTATTATATGCAAATGGTTTGTGCTCAAGCTGATTAGCATTTTAAACAAAAGACTATTCGTTTTATACGTTTATATGGGCAGCCCATTTAACAGTCCTACCTGATGACATAACCCGGTGAGAGTTACGTTCCTTACCAAGCCACTGGAGTTTCTCCAGGCCAAACTTGTGCTTGAGCAACGTGGGGGCGGGAATTAGCGGTGAGCAGAGCGTCACTGTGGCGTGGGCTGTGGTCTTCATTCCCTGGCCAGCCTGACCTGTGAATGCAGTTACCCCTTTATTGAAGGGGGGATCTTTGGGGTTTGTTTCCCCAAGGAAGGGAGGGTGCAGGGGAATATCTAACGTGGGACAAGTGGGTCTGAATGCCTTCCCATTTTGTGCTAAACTACAGAATGCTTCGAAAGCCAGCAAAGCAGACACGAGTGCCAACACAAATGCTGAGGAGATCTGTCCTGTGGAGAAGGAGGAGGCACCATCGCCCGTCCAAGTGACGCCTCCGCCCCCACCTGTAGAAAAGATCCCTAAAAAAAAGACTCCCAAAACTGTGAAAACCCCCAAGCAACTCAAGCCATCCAAACCCCCCAAACCTCCCAAGCCACCCAAACCCCCTAAGCCTCCCAAAACACCAAAAGTCAAGGGAGAAGGAAAAAAGAAAGGAAAGAAGGCAAAAGAGAGCCCACCGCCAGCCATCCCGAATCTCGACTTGCTGGAGGCACACACAAAGGAGGCTTTGACAAAGATCGAGACGCCAAAGAAGGGGAAGGTGGGTTGTATTTTAACCTCTCCCTCTTCTCTCGTCCTAATAGGGATAAAATCACTCCTTAGGTCACATGAAAAAGATAATTTAAGCAACACAGTGTAAAACCCTGTCTCCACTGAAGTAAATGAAAGTTTTGTAAATGCTAGCTTATTTTTACCTGACTGTTCAATTTGATTTGACTGTTTGCTCGGTTATTCATTTGATACAGAGCCTCCAAGAAACCTATTGAAACTCCTGCCAGTTCCCTGCCCAAACTGAGGTGGGATGAAAATTAAAAGACATTTTTAATGGCCTTTTTTTTGCCCCTTGAACTATTATATTCTTATTTCAAGCATTACTAGCACTCTTGTGTGCATTTCCATAACCGGTTATCAAAGATGAAGGAACTAATTTCTAAAGCATCTTATTTGCATGAGATTTTGCTCTAGAATGAGTGAATGAAGATAACACAATAGTTTACTTCCATTTTTGCCCACGTAGGAGAAGTTTCATTTTGATGTCCTTTAATTCAACGTGAATTTTGCTGCTGACTTCAGTAGGGGCCAGGATTTCATTGAGGCACTGACAGAGTGATGTATTGCACACTGTTTGTTAAGAAGTATCCATAAGTCTTTTCTAAAATGCTTCTGAATTTCCTAGCAGTTTGTATGCAGTTTGCGAAACCTGTCCACGGAGCAAGAGGCAGGGGGATTAGTATGTTTTTACAGTAATCTTGTATGTTGGTATATCAAGGAGAAATGCAGCTAGTCTTCTGCATTCTCTGAAGCAGCAATATTTGATTGAATCTCATATTTGGGTTCAAGAAGAAGAAATCAGAAGAGGAGTTTTCAAAAATATATCGTGTTATATTGAGTTTGCGAAACCTGTCCACGGAGCAAGAGGCAGGGGGATTAGTATGTTTTTACAGTAATCTTGTATGTTGGTATATCAAGGAGAAATGCAGCTAGTCTTCTGCATTCTCTGAAGCAGCAATATTTGATTGAATCTCATATTTGGGTTCAAGAAGAAGAAATCAGAAGAGGAGTTTTCAAAAATATATCGTGTTATATTGCAGATAAAAAATACTTTGCTGTAACATCCTCATTAAGAGTACATGCTGACTTTTTCCCCAGGCTGCAAAGAATGTTTTAAGTGTTCCCAATAAGGAAACTGCTAGTAAGCAGAACGAGGTGGAGAAATTGGAAGTTCGAGAGCAAAATAAAAGCAAAACAGAAGCCAAATGGAAATATAAGGTAATGTCTCCTGTTCAATTCTGCTGCTGATTCTGCCATAGTGATAAGTCAAGGGTGGAGAAATGTTCATAGGCCTACCTAAGCAGAGAGTGCAATTTTCAGTTCCCAAAGAAAAAATTTTGAGCAGAAAATAATCAAGTAATCACTGATAAAAGAGGGGGGGCAGATTCTTCAAAAGCGTATGTCGAATTGTCCATCTTCATCCTTGTTGAAGCCGGTGGGAACACTGTTAATAGTGAGATTTTTCAGTGCTGATCTCTTTTGTGATTCTTACTTTAACATAGTCGTACTACTTTAAGTCTGGAGTAGTTCCAGAGAAATCAATAACTAATGATGGCATAAAAGTAGAGTTAATGAAATCTGAATTATGCCACATGAATTAAAACCTTGCCTTCCTGGAGGGCTAATGTAGGGTGAGTAAAATTCATTCATAGAATAATACATTTTTTCTCCAGGTACCATTTAAAACAAGGTGACACTAGGCTTTCTCACAGAAATAGCTGTCTGTATTTTGCCCGCTTTGTGAACTTCTAATGACAAAGGTGCAAACAAATTCCCCAAACAAAACAAAAGTACATGCTTTTTCACATGGGGAAACTACACAGAATCGTGAATCATTAACATTAGAGACATCTAATTTTTTTGTGTTAAAAAAAGTCACGGTTAATGTGATTAGATCAATATGTACCAATTAATTCCGCAGCCAGTACAGCTTAGGAAAGTATTAAGGCGATGCTTAAAAAATAATCAAGGGCTTCCTTTGCAGTGAATGACTTTGATATAAATTATTAAATTCATAACTCAAGCTCTTCTGAAGGTATGAAAGAAGCAAGTGGAGCCTGGGAATAAAATGCAGTCGTATTTGTGAGGTTACAGGCGCTGTGCTAGATTCTGTCCGTAGCCACACAGGCACGACGCTGATGAGCAGCGTGCTTAGCCTGTGCTCTGATTCACAAAATGTGTGTTTAGTATTTTCCATCAGTCTGTACCAATTGTAAGAAAGCAATATTGAAATTTGGCATCGTGTTTGTGGTGGGCATTGCTTAAACTGGTGCTGAAGTGCTTCTTGAACGGGGACAAGTCCCTGAACTAAAACCCATGTAGTCTAAGGAAGAGTATAATCCTCTATTACTTACCACATTTGGGGAAACATATTTTTCTCTGGATGGATTCTCTGAGGTTACCTAGGAATCTGAAATATCAACAACTCATTCAACTAATTTTATTGTTTTGTTTTGGGTCTTTTGCTTTTCAGAACAGTAAACCTGATTCACTTCTAAAAATGGAAGAGGAACACAAATCGGAAAAGACGCCTTTATCAGGAAATAAGGACAACAAATTTACATTCTCTTTCTCTAATAAGAAGTTGCTTGGGTAAGTAAAAGTATGACAATACACATCAATTAAAAGAAGCAAATTAAGAAGTCTTGTCATTATTTATGGTTTTTTTATACAAGAAGGTGAAAATCTGCCTTTCTGGTCAATGTAGAAAAGACACTTAGGGAAAAAGTTCTTCGCTCTAGAACTTGATTTTACCTAGAACCCAGCATAGTTGGCCGTAACAGCAATGACCTGTCTTTGAGGCTGGTAGTTTGCTTGAGAACAGTGTCTTCAGTATTCAGGCAGTGTCTTATGTTCTGGCACTTTAGGTTCTTACTAGCTGAGTTACATTAAGTGGGTTTTGTTCAGATCCTCCTCAGGGTACATTTTTAAGAAACTGTTAAATGAACTCTGCATACCAAAATTCCATGCTGCGTGTGCATTATGCATATCACGATATACCTTGGGACAGCTTTAAATAATATAGTGTTTATTTGAAGCCAGCCAAGGCTACTCTAGTCGGCATCATATTTTGAGATATAAATTGAAGGTACAGAAATGTGTTTGTAAAATTATTTTAATTGCTGTGGCACCTCTGAAAGTATTCAAGTTGACTGAGATTTCTACATAAGATACTTACCTGTCTTCCTCTTTGTCAATTCGCAGAATGTTTTCCAATCAGAGTATTGTTACTGATTAGTAATTTTTTTTTTTTTTTCCAGTTCAAAGGGAGTCAAAACCCAGCTGAATACTAGTGTGTTTGGGTCACTGCAGAATTTTAAAGAAGATAAAGCAAAACCTGTACGAGATGAATATGAATATGTGTCAGATGATGGTGAACTAAAAATCGACGAGTTTCCGATCAGAAGGAAGAAAAACACTACAAAAAGAGAACTGCCCTGTAAGAATATTTCCTATTTTCTCTGTATCTCCACAACAAAGTCTTATGTGTTGATTGTCCAAAATTAGTCTCTAAAATCTATGTGATTTGTAATAAAGCAAGCCATGTCTTAACTGTCAGTCAAATATAAGTGGATTGAATTGCTTTAGAAGTTATGGCTTAGGAGTGCTATCGTTTGAAGGGAAAAGAACCATGACTTTGTTTTTCTTTTTTTTTTTTAATGCAGTTTTGTCAGATAAAAAAGACACTCTGCAGCACACTCCTGTTAAGAAGCCAAAGGTGGAGTCGGTATCATACAAGGTATGGTTATTATTGTACCCATCACAAGGAAGCACCCATTGCACACCTCTAACAGTGTGTGGGGCAGTACTGTAATGGCAGTAGCAAAGCCTTCTTACAGGCTGTTGTCACATCCTCTCCTTCATTCTGCAGTCACAGTCTGCCCAGAATAGGCAGCATTCAGACGTTGCCAGGACTAAGCATCATTTGGTGCTGTGGCTTGAACTGCTTGTACATGATCAGGCCTGGTGGGAAGCGTGCGTGGGGACCGTGACAGTTGTATCACAACACAAGAACGGGAGCAAACCGTAAGAAGGAATGGGAAGGGTCAGAAGGAGTCTTCTGTCGTACCTGGCTTGATGTTACATTGCTGACAGCCACAGGGGTCTGTCCCAAGCTGTGCTCCCAACCTGTGTCTGTCCTCCCATTTCCATGTGCTTTGAACGCTGGTCGTTAAATTTCCGTGTTCATGCCTGACAGATGAAACTCGGAGTAATGCTAATACAATTGAGCCCATGTCGTTTGGCGTTTCACATTACTAGAAGCCCTTAATACCTATTATGTAGCAATTAAAGGTTTTGTTTGCGATCACTTAGCAGAGTCTCCCTCTGCCCATTATGGGCTTACATCTAGAATGCCCTTGACTCAGTGTGATACTTCAGCATGTCCCTAACTTGAGGCAGTGTCAATGTGCCTGTTGATAGCTTACCGTCAGGAAGCTGAACAGCACAGGCGTAAGTTTGCTCTGTGTTAGCATTGGAGCTCAATGCTGGAAATTAAATTACATTAAATGACATTAAAATTAGTTTTGCCCAACTGTGGTTAATACAAATTCATATTATAATATCTGCATAAGTCAGAAAAAGCAAAATAGCTTGTTAACACAGAACTGTAGGTGACTGAAATGTTTGGCCCTAAGAACTAAGGAATCCTTTTCATCTTGGTTTGCCTCAGGGATATTCAAGAGCAAGTCCAGACCTCCTTGCTTGGGTCAGTAGTTGACATTTGGAGACCGGTGCACAGAGAACAGGGAAAAACATGCTGGTATCTCACTGTGCAGCAGCTTAAGGAGGGAGGCCAGTTCCTGGAAAGAACAGTGATTGGCAGTTTAAGCAATAAGGGCTGGGACTTCAGAGGCCTGAAAGCAGGGCAGGAACAGGGAAAAAAGTTGTTCTATTATACTCGACTACAGTGCATAGAGATAGCAGCCCCAGAAAGATAGTTAGATGCAGATAGCTTCCTTCTGTGGCCTCAGATGCCACTGCTTATATGTGTCTATCCCATTGCTCTGGCAGATCTTCCTGTTCTCTTGCAGTAGGGATGGCAGAAGTGGGTCTGTCCCTGTGTCTGAATCGGCAATGTTAACAGTCTTGCAAGATGCAGACCTGTGCCCTGATGCGTATCTGGGCTGACAGAGATATGGCCACACATTCACTTCTTTTGCTGCATGGGTCATGGTCTCAAGAACAGGAGCAGGGGCTGAGAAGGCAACACAGCACCTGGAAGCACCACCGTTACAGTGGTTCGATCCCATGCGCAGGATCAGATCTCAAAGCTGGTTCTCCAGGCTTGGAAGGGGAAAGAAAAACCTACCATGCCTCCAGGCTGCAAGGAAACTGATCTTTACTGTGTACCTGGCTTGGTTTGTTTATTTTCTTTAATGAAAGCAAATTACAAGTGCTAGCCCTGTGTCTTTGGAGGAGCAGCAGGCTGCAGAAATGATTGTGCTGTTCTTGTTGACTAACTCAGTGAGTTTCCACTTTTTTGAGTCTTTTCCTTGTTTTTGCAGAGCGATGACTCATCAGATGAAGATCTGCTTCACATTGACACAGAGGCAAAGCCAGGGCGCAACTCCAAAGTAAAGAAAGAGAGTGGAAGTTCAGCAGGAATTCTTGATCTTTTGCAGGCAAGCAAGGAAGTTGGGGGTTTAGAGTATAACACCAACAGGTATGCACCAAGGGATGTTTTATCCTCTTACCCGTAAACAAAAATTGCTCTTTTGTGTTTGTGTGTGTGTGAGTGAGAGAGAGACTGAATTTTGCAGCTCAGTAACTGCTTTTTCTCCAGTAAGCGAATTCCTCCTTTATCCTGTGATCTGGAGGGAGAGGTGGGAAAATGCGTGGGAAAGTTTTTGGTGGTATAATTTAAACAAATAGAGGCATTTCACATCTGTAAATGCTGAACATCCATTTTAGCAATAATACTATAATAGATGAATCATTCAAAAGAAGAGAGCACTCAGTGAATGCAGCTTGAGGGCATGAATAATGTTTTTTAATGTAGTAATAATGTAATAAAGTAATCTAAATGGCCAGCATTCCTTCCATAAGGCACTGTAAAGTGCCATGCAGTTCCCCGAATGTCGAATGTTTGAAAGAAGAAAATAGGAAACCGTCTACCCTCCCTCACACCCCTGGTGTGAGGTTCTTCTCCCCACCAAAACACAAGGCTTGGAAAAAAACAAACTCTTTCATGGGTACTTCTATACCTAAAATGGAAGTGCTTGTCTGGGCTTGGTTGTGTTTCATGTGGGACCGCTGTAGGTGGACATGGAAGTTGGCACTGGATGTTTTGGAATATGGTTAATAAGGTACAGCACTAGATCTTTTAGTAATCCAAACAGTGAGCAGTGAAAAGAAATCCAAAATTGGAAAATATGGTTCCTAGACTCAAATCCTGCAGTTCAGGACTGTCTGGAACAAGGGTTTTGTTTGGGCCCATCTCAGGACAAATGTATGGGTTTGCTACCTCCACTCTTTACAGGCCAAGTCTGACCTTAAACTACGGATAGAGAATTAGGTAATAGAAGCAGGTGTGTCGTTTTGAAAGAAGCTAGTGGGCCTCTTCACATATGGAAATGCTTTGCTTAACTCAAACCTTAGGAACAAATCCCCGGGAAGGGGTTTTGGGAACGTCGACTGAGTTTATGGCTTCCGTGCGCAGAATAGCACTGCAGACATGAATTGCTACGTCTTATGCCCTGTGCTCCGTCGTAGTCTGCTGATTAAGTAGATCTTTGCTGCTGCAGTCTTAACTGAATGATTTGTCCCCCGTCTGCAGAAAACCAGAGGTATTCACCTAAGCACTTTCCACTGCTCCACAGGGACCACCGCCTTGGTACTTTTGGAAGCTGTGGGCTGTTGGTAAATTGCTGGCACAAGTTTCTAGCCTCTAAATATGCCTGTTGTGCAAACAAAGGAATTATCCTCTGAAAGGTGAGAATGACAGGCTAGGTGGTGATGTGGGCAATGACGTGAAACGTGCGGTAAGGCTATTCTTGTTCGGCATTTTAATAAGCCAGTTCCATCTCCACTCTGCCTTCATTTGAAAACTGCCTTCACCAGCCAGGCAGGACATGTTGGTTCTCCAGGCTGGCTGCTTGAAGCAGCATTTGTCCTACTCATGATTCATATAGCAGATGTTGCATGGAAGCAAGAGGTGTGTTGCACCATTTTATAGGGGCAAAGCAGCAAAACCAATCCGCTTTGAGTAGTAAAGCCAGATGCCACATTCAGTGGTTGCTGGGGTACCCCAACAGCATCTTTTTCCCCCCTGCTTTCTCTAGGTCTGCCTTGGTTATACAAAGGCACAGAACCTCTGGAGGAAGTAGAAATAGCTGTAGGAGTGGTCTGAGAGTTGAGAACGGACTGGACAAAGAGAGACTGGTGCTGTCCTTTTCACCCGTGCTGTGCCCTTGCTGGGTGTTGGGTGTGTGTGACCCACGAAAAGTGCAGCTTGCAAATGAAAGGCCTTGTTAAAGTGGAATGAGAAGGTCCCCTCAGAGAGGAAGATATTATCTAAACCTGGGAAAGAGTGGAAGTTAAAAGCCATAACTGAGAATTCCAAAAGATATGCCTCATGATCAAAGGGGAACATATGGAATAAGTTACCAAGGGAAACCATAGAAGCAAATTTTATCAGTGAGTTTTAAAAAAAAAAAAAAAGATAGTTTTTTTTTGATGTTGAGAGAGAAGATGGAATTTTTTAAGGTTGCAGTGTGGTGACAGAGCTACAAAGAAATCTGAAGGAGGGAGTGTTGCTGAACCAGAAACGTCTTCTGGTTCAACCTTCTCAATTTATTAGGCAATTGTCTCTTTCACAGCTTAGATAGTTGCAAGAGATTAAAGCATATTATATAGACTGGCTTCATGCAGGGTACATCAGTTGTGAAGTACCAGGCAGCTCTGTGAGAGACAGACTTGCCTTTGTGCATCAACATTTAGAGTTTATTGCTTGTTGCAGCACAGTGACAGGGATCCTCATCTCTGTGTTGTGCATGCGGAATCTCCGGTAAGACTTCTCTTTTCATTCCTAATGGGGGTGAAAAAAGCCAATGATTTTAAAATCAAGTAACATAGTCACTACATACCCTTAGAGGGCTTATCTTGACAAGGCTGCTATTTCTAGGGAGGAGATCTTATCTCAGTTTAGTCCTGTTTTTCCTCCATTACTGCCTTCCCCCTAGCAAGGAGTGCTTGATCAAAACAGCCGACCACCTCCTGTGATTGCGGATGGTATGGGGAGAGGTACCAATGTGTCTGCACCTCCCAGGAAATAGAATATTTTTTGTTGTCTGAGCTCAAGTGGGTCAGTGGTTCTAGATTTTCCTGATGTCTTGAGATTTGGCCCTGACTCTGCGCCTGCTCTTCGAAAGAAATAATTGCATTGGCACTTGTTGTCTATTTGACTATTCCTGTGAATTCCTTTTCCATTCTGTGTTATGGTGCATAATGGAACTAGTGTTTATGTCAAATTTACACTTACATTTTGGCAGGTAATTAGACATGTCGGCAGGTAGTTAGGTGTACCTAACTCTGGGAATAAAGTTGCCAGTGTAATGAGACTCCCATGCTTGAAGTCTGGTATAAAATAAGAAAATTTATCAACCGTTGTAAGAATTAAAAGAAATCTGCCTTGGCCATGTTTACACTACTAACCATTCCATGGTTCACTGCCTGCTTATGATGTGCAGAAATGCAGGGGTAAGCGGAAAAAACAGGGTAAAGAAATGGTCCTCAAAGATTCTCTTCCTTGGCTTTTGCTGTCTGCAATGGGTTGAAACTGCCACTCAGTAATGGAGTAGGACTCAGGCCTTTCATTTTCCCTCCCTTCAGCCTGGGCTCTGTACCCAGTGTATTTGTAGACTTTGCGGTTTCTGAAATCAAAGTCGCAAATGCAGTCACATAACTAAACTCTGCATGAATTACTACACTGTGTGTGGTAGTCTAGTGGGAATGTGTCATATCAGTTTTGGCTCTTGTATAAACAATTAGGCTTTGGCAGTGTGTGTTGCAGCTTGATTGAAAAAAGCTCCCGATAAATGAAATTACTGTTTCATTTCATAATTATGCTAGGCTTTTTAAATGGCCATAATGTGCTTTTTTAAAAAAAACATGGAAGAAACATGATATGCAAACATACTGTGTCGCAACATAATGCCAATGTGGTCGTGTCTGACTCTCAGGAACAACTTCCATCTTTCTCTACTTGTATGGCAGATAAAGGGTAGGCATATGTATGTATTTTTATATATATGTATGTATGTATGTATGTTCTGGATACTCCACGTAGCAGTAGTGCAGGTAGGTCTGTGTGGAATCTCCTTTGCTCACACAGTGGTCTGTGCAGATGAGAGCCAGCTCTCAAGTGGGAAGCATGGAGCCCTGTCAGACCAGCGCCGGAGCTGCTGAACCCCAGCAGTAACTTAGGAAGCAGGTCAGGGTTTTTTGTGGTAACAACCTTACCTGAATTGTGTGAAACTTTATTCTGTAAAACATTGGACTGTCATTTGCAGCTGACCAAACCAAATGCCCTGATGGCATTACCTAGATTGCTCTGGAGAGCTGCATCTCCCGTACTTGTGTCAATGGTAGCGAGATGGGGAGAGGTAATGACAGAGGTCCTGCAGAAAGGCTGCTGTAAATGTGAAACAGTCTGGAAGAATTGAAATGGAATATGGAAAAAAGCTTGGAGGTACTGGTAGTCACGTGATCTTGAACTGAGCAAAATTATTTGTTGTTTCCAGGTCTGATTCAAAAATGGAAGGAAATACTGGTTTTGTACTTGAAATCATTTGAGCTCCATAGTTTTATACAACTATGACTTCTCCAAAATACTGATAAGTCATTACTGTCTTGCGCCACTTCTTCTTTGTGGTTCATTTGCATTTGGCCACAGGTAGGGTGAGGGGAAATGCAGAAATTACAGGGAAATACTATCACAGAGAGAGGATGGTGATCTATTGCCTTCCCCTTACATGCACAACTGTTTTTCAGTGGTTCTTATTTGATGTATTCCAGAGTAACGGCAGTTGGAAGGGACCTCGGGAAGTCACCTAGTGCAGCTGCCTGCAGGTGCAGGTTCAGGGCATTGCCCTGGTGAGTTTTAAATATATTCAGGGATGGGGATTCTGCAGCCTCTCTGTGTGAGCTGCTCGGCCACCCTTGGTATGGACCTGTTCTTCTTGTGTCAGGTTGGGATTTCCCCTGCTGCAGCTTGTGACCACTGCCTTTCATCCTATTGCTGTGCACCACTGAGAAGGGTCTGGCTCTGTCTCCTCCGTAACCCCATGAGATAGTTCTTGTTTCAGGTTAGTTCTTATTTCCATTTAGAAAATGCTCAGTGGTTGCATTTTTTCCTTTGCCCTTATCTATTTTTCCCCTAATCTTAAGATGAGTCTGGACGATACTTATTCAGAGGCGAGGTGAGACATTAGTGAGCTTACTGTCTCTCATCTCTGCCTTGCCCTTCGGTGCCTCCAGCCGTCTGTGTAGGCAGCATGAAGAATGGGGAAGCCACCCCTCAATGAGTAATATTCTGCTGAAATTAATAAATTCAATTTCTAAATATGAAGATATAGGTGAAAGGCTTGGTAATTGCTTATGAAAGGAAGGAGATGATCTGCCTAGAGGTGTTGAACCCTCAGAGAGAGATGGCAGTAGTAGAATTGGTTGTGAAAAGTGAGGCACCAGCTCCCTGCATGATATCCTCTCCTAGCTTCAGGGTGTTCGGATCGTTCCTGTGCCCAGGCAGCGCAGGGGCCAGCCTCAACTAAGGAGGTAAAACCTTAGTCTGTCCGTGCTGAATTGTGTGTATTCTTGTCACGATCACGGCTGTTTGCCTGTTGCCACCCGCTCTGGAACATGCTGTCAATGCTTTTGTCAAGTCTAGGTGGGCAACGGAGGCAATGTGAAAGCCCCAAAACGTAGCCTGAAGGGATGCTTTATGCTCTCCTCCCTGATGAAGATGCTGCTAGCAACGGCAAGCTGTTCTGGGACACTGAGGCCCCGAGGATTAAACCTGACACAACAAATAGTTGCAGAGAGCACTGTGTGTAGGGCACAAAGCCATCTGTGCCATACAGACCAATGTCTTCTTCCTTGGGTTCCCACTGAGATGAGTTGCCCTTCTCTGCTCCTCGTCACACTGTCCCGACCAGCAGGCTGGTCAGCCCTGGGGAGATTTTATTTGGGATGAGTCTTAACAGCAAATTTGCCCTTCTGTTACGGTGCTTCTCTCTGTTAATAATGTGAAAATGTGCCACCAGTTTCAACTCTCGGGAGCAGCAGCAGAAAGGCAGTTGCTGGTGCTGACGATGCACGTGGCTCGTGAGCTCAGGCTGCTCGGTGTGGGTGCAAGCTTGGCCCGTTGGGCTCCGTACCAGCTCAGCGTGGGCTCTGGGTGGGAGCTGGGCCTGGCATACCTCGGACTCGTCCTCCACAGCCCAGCCCTGTGGGTCATTCAGGCGGCCACCATGCTGCTTTGGCCATGCCTTTTTGGCCACCTGAGTGGTTCTTTTGCCTGTGGACTGTGCGACGGCTGCACCGAGGTTTACCATGCGGTGCTGGGTGTTGCAGGGGAATCTGGCAGTTTCCAGTGTGGACCTCTTTCAGTTCTGCACTGTACGCAAATCACCAGATGCTTGCTAGGCAGCAAATAGTTATTGCAGTAAACTAAGCTCTCAATCATCTGTCCTTGTCTTCACAAGAGTAAAAGGAAACAATAAAATCCCGAAAAAGGAGGCCGTGCAAAATGCTGAAGTGGAGTTCACTGCAAAAGGCACAAAGTGCTACCAGTCAGTTTGTTAAAAGTGTCCTTTTCTCTGTTCATCCACAACATCATTTTTTAGCTTGAGGAGGGGAAAACAAGGCTGCCGGGCTTTGCAGAGCAGTGGCAGGGTCTGTGCTATCGCCAAGTGCCAACTCGCTGCGTGTTCGAAGGACCCTTGCCAGCCGGCTGCTGGGAAGGGAGCATGGGGGCAGAAGCACTCTGGCTGCTTTGCTCCTGCTCCTGCGCTCATTTTAAATGTTTTTTAAGTCACGTTTGTAACTCACAGAGAGTTTACTTTCATAAATGGTTTTTTTTTTAAATCATTGCTGAAGCTACAGAAAGGGGATATGGCCTTCCAGAGCTTAAAAATTGCTTCCTGATTCTTCTTGAATTTTTTTTGGCTTAGAAAGCCGAAATACTTCTAATGGAAGTACACGCAAGCACATGCCCTAATGAGAAAAACTTTGCCCCGTGTGCAGCTCTGTCTCTTTGAGATGTTTCACCCACACGTTCAGGTTGCGGTTTGACTCTCAGAACCACTGGTTTTGATCATATTCCACAATTTATTTGTTGAAGCTTGTGTTGCTTAAGGCAGTTCCTCTCTGATTTGCCCATTTAGTGGTCAATGTTTGATGGTCTGTTTGCAGCGGTTTGAGAGTCCAGTGTTTGCAAAAACAGTTGGGGGAAAAAATTGAAAGAAAATATGTTAATTTCTTATAGATGATGCAAAATATGCCTTTGACAGGGAGAAGGCTAAGGCATCTGGCATGATAACGACGGGATTCAAATGTCTCTTTCCTAAATAAGTTTTTCGATGTTCTTCTATTTGTTGGGTTGCTAGCTGCTAACACCAGTCTTAACTCATTTTCAGGATTATTTATAAATGCAATTAGTGCCCAGAAACTCCCATTATGTCTTGTACGTTACTCTATCTGGAGTCCTGTAATGGTTTAAAGTGGATTAAATTAAGATCAAGTAAGAGAAAGCGATGCGGTACTGCTGATTTACTTGGGAAATGCTCTATATTAGTGGCTTCTATTGCATAACTGTAAAAAATATCATTACCACAGCAAGTTCTTTTGCATATCACTATTTGTCCAAACTCCAAAGTTCTGGAAATATTTGATGATGTATTCTGCCTGTCGCAGAATTAATGTCTGGTGTTCTCTGATGAGATTATCATTCTTCTACGTTCTTCTCTATTGTGGGGAGCATGCTTTCCCACCTCGCTAAGCATACATGCCAGTCAGAATTTACACATCGTTTGACCTCAGCCTACTCTGTAGGAATGTATTTCTTTCTGTAGTAGACGTGCCGTGCCTGTTGACAACTGGCAATAAAATACCAAAAAGCAAGGTTTCCACCCACCCTGTAGTCCACCCATCCAGTCTGGATCTCTCCAAGCATCTCCCATAATCAATCCATCCCACATCCACATCAGAAAACCCTTCCGATGCACTGCAGAAACCTCTTGAATTGCTTGTGCCTTACCACGTTGCTCTTCCAGCAGATCCTGGAGTGGTGACAGCCCTCAGTGTGAACTGTGGCCTGTGATCATGAGCTTCCTTCCAGTTGTTCAAATTCTTCCTCTACTTGCGTTGGCAGTATGTAGCAGGAGCCCACCACGACATCCCCCTCCAGTGCTGACCCATAAGCCCTCAGAGTTGGTAGTAGAGACACCACGTTGTTGGGAATGCTTTGAAAAGTTACCTGACCCCTGTCCTCGCCCACCAGCGACAACAGCCCCCAGGGAGCTGCCCATCACATGCCCAGCCACGCGGCACACAGCTTCCTGGCGTCTGGGGTAGCAACCCCAAATCTAATGTGCTGTCTGTGATATTGCTGTTAGCATAAAAATAACTGGTGTCGCTTGTGGCATGCCCGGCTGCTCAAAGGGCAGTAATCGGGAAATCTCTTCTAGCAACACTGTGCGGTGAAAGGAGTCAACTGTTTGTGAGGGGTTCGTGTTTTTCTGGAATTGCTAATAGCTGTTGTATTTCTCAATGTTTCCCCGCAGTCAGCCACCTGCCTCACCCAGCACGCAAGAAGCAATCCAGGGTATGCTATCGATGGCAAACCTCCAGTCGTCAGAGTCCTGCCTCCAGACGGCATGGGGTACCAATCAGGCGAAGAATAACTCCATCTCCACACAAAACTCTAAAAAAACTGGTGGTGGCAGCAACAAAAATGCCGGCAAGCGGTTACTAAAGAAAAGCACAAAGAACAGTATTGACATCGAAGATTACGATGAAGATCAGGACCACTTAGATGCCTGTTTTAAAGATTCAGATTACGGTAAGTACAGACGAAGCAGTCTGAGTGTGCCTGGGTATGCATGTTTGTGCGCGTTTGCAAATACCCCCATGTTTGTCATGATACGCTTGCTGACTTTCTGTCACATTGAAATCGACTGGGTATTTTGGTAAGGAGGAGTGCAAGTAACAAAAGGTCTGCCCAGCAAAATTAAGTGAATGCTGTACGATAGGTAGACTGACTACAGAGCTGGTGGTGATACGGCCATCCAGGTAGACTGTATTTGAGGCATGTCACAATCAGAAGATCTTAAGAGGCATGGAAGCCTACTGAAATGGCAGCAGTCAGCCAAGAAACAGGAAACTGTCCCAGAAATGTGTGTCAGGTACTGGTACTTAGGACAGAAATGTCCTTGTCTGCACAATAGCAATAAAATACCTAGCTAAGATGAGTGAGTAGTTGAATTTGTACTTGGAAAAGGGATCCAATGGTATTTTGAGTGTTGGCAGAGAGTGCAAGCATCTGAAGCAGAAATAGGCACAAAGCTGGTTTGCACCAGTTATATCAGTTCTGCCATAATAATCTGCAGGAGCATTTCTGAATATAAGAAGTGAGGAAATGAAGAAAAGTAATCATGTGAAGACTGATAGGGACTGGGAAGCCTGAAGTCCCAAAGAGGGCAAGAAGTTGGTAGGGATTTATGCTGCATAACAGGAGAGTCTATGTGTGTGTTGAAGTCTGCCCGGCAAACGTGGCCATCAGAAATCATCTGTTACGATTGGAAAAACAGAGTGTGTGTTTTCACGTTATTAACAGAGATGCCGAGGCAAAATGGAGATGCTGTGACATGTTGCCAAAGAAGGCTGCCCAGCCATTTAGAGTGCACTGCATGCACTGGGATGCAGTGGTAGTGCTGGAAGGTGCTTTGGGAAAGGGCAGCTCCGTGAAGGTGTTGGACAGGGGTGTGGTTTACAGACAGATGCCATGCACGAACGAGGTTCTGCTCTACTGAGGGGTGGGTTTGCTCATTATGTGTCTGTGCTGCCAGCGAATGGCGAGTCTTTGTTGTGAGCAGGCTTGGTTCCCAGAGGCTGTGTTTGTGCCACATCTGATCAGCAGACTTCTAGTGTCAATGGCTAAATGCCACAGTAATGCCAAAATCAGTAGCGACGTAACAAATGGCAACTGGCAAGAAAATCAAACGCATGTGAAAAAAAAACCCACAGAAACTCTGTAGTAAAGGCTGGGACAAAATTCAGACAGATAAGTTGGTGTTTCTCCCAGAGGCCTGTAAAGGGTCCTTTGGTAGAATGGTTTGCCTTCATCTTGGATACTCACGCTGTGTCGCATTTCTCTCTGCCTAACTGTGCGGGAGTCATACGGGCCAGGCAGGTGTGGTGCTGAATGAAGCGGTTGGCTGACGTGTCTTCGGCACCAGTCTCGCTTGTGATAAGGAAACCTATTTGTGCCTGTTCTGGCTGTGCTACCACTCCACAGACAAGACTGATTTTTCCTGTCTGAGAAGTTTCACTGTGTATCCTAAAAGTAGCTTGTCACAGTTTAATGACAGCAGCTCCCAAGTGTAGTGTGTGGATGAGAGCAGGAGAAAGTCCCCTGAGTGTTGCAGCTGTGTCACCACTCAGTGGTACCTCTGGGGGACCTTGCTATTCTGGCTGTGATGCCTTGTAGTCACCGCACCTGTACAGAGCAAGTGGGCCTCTATGCAGGGTAGAGCTGTTTCCTACACTGAAGCTATTGCCTTTGTTTCCTACTGTAGTTTACCCTTCTCTCGAATCAGATGAAGATAATCCAGTATTCAAATCCCGATCAAAGAAAAGGAAAAGTTCAGATGATGCCCCTTACAGTCCAACGGGTAAGTCCATATGGTCTGTGCTGCCCAGACTCAGGCTAAGTTGTGCAGGTCCCTAAAAAACCAGCCATTTTTCAAGGAGTGTGGAAATTGTAAGACCACAGCTAGCAATTTCTTTATCATGTGAAGGATTAATCCTTTCCAGCACAGTGGGAGGTGATACCATGCACTGGGACTCATGCCGAGCAGTGTTAGCCTTCCTCCGTCAATCAGTTGGCAGGAAAAAGTCATTCCTGGGTGGGTTGTTGGTTTATTTTTCTTCACACTCTTGGTGATGGAACAATTGGCAGCCACCTTAGCAGCGGTATAACAGTGAAACCCTAGACAGCTGAGTAGCCATGGCTTTTAGGTGTTGACTGTGTAAAGAGAAATGACAGAGAGTGTGGGAATGGTCTCCTCCAGGTTCAGCCAAAGCTTGTGGTCTGGAAGGGTGTTTTTGTTGCGGCTCATCAGAGGCACTGACAGGCCAGGGGGTCCTTAGACCCCTTTGATGTGGCCCACTAACAGGGGAGTCTCCACGGCTTGCTGCGTGTGTAACAAGCAGCACATGTCTCATCAGCTTGTGGCACTGCATGTCCATCCCCAGCTGATGGGGCGGTGAACACTGTCCATTTGGAAATGATGTTGGAGTCACTCATATCTGTAGTGTAGGCAGAAACCTCCTGTGGCTTTGGCTTCAGGTAGCTGCAGCTGCCAGTGAAGTTGCTCAGCTGTGTTACATCTTCATTGGCAGCTTCTTCCCAAGCCGCTGTGACTGGAGGCTGTTGGCACCTCCTGCCTTCACACGCATCCTGGGGAAGGAAGGGCAGAGGCTGCGGCATCCCTGGCCCTCCCTGCTCAGGAGGGCAGAACCTCGCTGCCCAGTATGTGGTTATGCTGCTCACACGGGCACATTCTGCACGTCTCACCTGCATCTCTTTCCTTGTAGCACGAGTTGGCCCCTCAGTGCCTCGACAAGACAGACCGGTGCGAGAGGGCACGAGAGTCGCCTCCATTGAAACTGGACTCGCCGCTGCTGCCGCGAAGTTGTCTCAGCAGGTGAGGTTGCTTGAGAAGTAGTAGCTGTCAGGAACTGAAAACCCTCTCCCCCAGCAGCAGAGTCATGCCCAAATAGCAGTGCAGTGCCGGTCCTCCTCAGTGTTTATTCATGCCAGTGACACAAGGCTCAGCAGTCTTAGGGGAAATAAATGGGTTGAAAGTCCAGTAGTGTCGCAGCATATCTGACAGTGCCGCAGCGCAGAGCAGGCGACGTATCGGGAGTGTAGAGAAGTATGGGCGAGCGAGCATAGCTACCAGGCTAAGACAGAAGGAGGCTGCCCGAAGGGAGTGTGCATGAACCGCATATTGATGTGTATTTGAGAGTCTGACTGGTGTGATTGCCTTGTCTGTGGAAGTCGGCTGCTGGGAAGCACGAGGATTTACTTCCAAAGATTTGGTGAACCGTGGGTACCTATGGGTCAGTTTAGCAAAGATGTTGAGGCACTTTGGGTGTTGATAAGTGTCCGGTCTCTGAAGAGGTCAGATAGATGCTAAGCACCTAATGCACATAGGCCCCACAAATGTGACACGGTGAGGTGCAAAGGTGACAAGGTCTGCTGGAGCAAGGTTGGCGAGACACCTTGGCAAGTTGCTGGAGATGCAGGTTTTGGTGGCATTGGGTTTCTGTGATGCGTACGGCTGAGTAGAAGAGCTCTAAGAATGGTAGCAGGGTTTCATCGAGAAGCGGACTGAAGGTAGGCAAGGGAAACAGGATGGTGACAGTTCTCATGGTATGTATGTGTAAGTGCAGTTACAGGTCGAGAGATAATGTGTGTGTCCTAGCAGGAAGCAGAGTCTGTGAATCAGTGGGATGTTTAATATCCTCCAGGCTATTGTGAAAGTGTATGAAGATACCTGAAGATAGGAAGTGCCAGTTTTTGTGGAACATCGAAAGGTTTGTTCATGCAAAACCACGCTGGTCTCCCAAGGCAGGGTCATTTTGGTCCTGGCTGGCTCCCACTCGCCGCAGTGTACGCAGAGTTAACAAACAAGGAGGCTCCGCACAAAGCGCATACATAGATGCAAGAAAGGCAAGCGTGTGCGTGCAGCAGAGCGAGCTGTGAGCGAGATGGTATCGGAACAGACCCTGAGCAGTTTGTACATGGCAAACTTCATGGGTTTTCGTTGTATCAGGACCCTAAGCAACGCCGCTGGCCCTTGCCGTAGCTAAAGGTCTTCTGGGGATTAATCTGAGCTTCATGTTTGTCATTTTAAAGGAGGAACAAAAAGGCAAGAAGAAAAAAAATACCAAAAAGAAGCTGTCAACCAACAACGCGAACAAACCGGCTCAGGAAGGCAGCTCGCCAGAGCCGAAGCTGGAGTCACATGCCAGCAGCCTCACAGATCACGAGTACACCGCAGGGGCCAGCACCTTTGGGGTCGCCCAGCCTAACAGGGGATCGCAGCCGATGGCACCTGGTGTTTTCCTCACACAGAGGAGACCCTCATCATCCTCGCAGAACAATGCCTCCGCCAAAGGTACCAGGAAACGCCTGGGGTTATGGTGTAGGAATGGGGAAGGGTGAATTGGTCATGTAATCCATGCCTTTTGCAGGGCCCTCACGTGTTGTGTCTGTCACGGGTATGTAGAAGTGCTTCGGCAGGTCAGATCTGGTCAGAGATAGGGCCCATGGCCTTGGCTGTCCTGGCACTGTGGGCCCAAATACGCGTTTTGCTGCTGGGCTGTTTGTTGCAGGGTGTGAGGCATCCCATGCTAGGAAGTACATCCTGAGCATGCCCCGAGGCTCCTGAGGAACACCTGCAGTGATCACGTCACAGTCCAGCCTGTCTGGTGAAGCCTTGTCCAGGGGAAGATGCGTCCATGAAGGCTGTTCTGCCCAGGGCTAGGTCAGGCACTGTTGTGGTTGGGTGGTGTTTGTACACCAGTACCTGTGCTGACATGTACATGAGGACATCCTACCCAGCGGGTGTAGAGCAGTGCAAATCTGCAAACCTGTCTTGAGAGTTGCCACAAGGGAGCAGAGGAATATCAGACCCTGGGAGTAACACAGCTACACAACCAAAGCCAGGAGAGAGGAAGAGGTCGCTTGTTGCCTGCCATAGGGAAGGTGTTACAAAGCTGAGGCTGTCCTGGAGTCTGGGCTAGGACCTCCTATTCTCTGCTTGAACTTTGCTCAGAAAGCGTGACAGAGGCAGGTATGTGGGACAGGTACCGGGTAGTGTGCAGATGAAGTGTGCAATCCCCCTGGGAGAGGCTCTGATATAAAAAGTGAGGCAACGTGGCAGATGTTCCCGGCATTCCCCTGTATTTGAGTGGAGCAAGTTAGAGGTAGTGCACGGTGTCCTGCCAAACAGTAAAACGTCAGAGCAGCTTGAATGGGCTATACAGGAGGACGTGCATAGCCCGTGGTTGGTGCTAGGGTCCTGCCAGGAGCTGGTAATACCTGTGGCTGTCTGCAGAGCCGGAGTGGAATGAACGTGTTTGCCTGGAATTGTGTCCTTGTGGTGAAATGGTGGCATTAGTGAAACAGGTCCAAGCCAGTGGAAGATGTGATGGGAAGAGGAGTGCTGAATGGAGCCGAACCCCAGTCTGGCCGGTGAGCTGGGCGGCCCAGTCAGGGCATCGTGAAGGGAGCCTGACCAGGCACGTGGATCACACCTTGCCCGTGGTATAGCTCAGTCCTCAAAGGAGGGAAGGAGCCATGTGCCAAGAAAGCGAGTGGCTGACCTCTCAGGGAGCGGAGCACTTTCAGGGCCTCCTGTGCAGGGTCTTGGGACAGCTGGGGGCACCAAGGGGACTTCAGGGCATCTCTCTGCATGGAGCACAGGAGAGTCCTGAGCCTGGGGACTACAGATTGGGCATCACTGGGAATGAAGGGACTGTGGAAGGAGATGGTGGGATGAAGCAGAATTAGGGAGCTCTAGGACCTCCTCAGGGAAGGTCTCTCAGTCTTAAAGAGTGAGGCGAAAGGATGAGAAATGAGGAAACTTCCCATGGAAAGTGTCACCCACACTGTCATGGTCTTTAAGGCTGGGGCACTTAAGGCAGATGGGAAAAGCGGAGAGGAGCTGAGTCTCTGCAGGTACTGCACAAGAGTGCACCAATGGCGGCATGATGGGAAGAGAAAAGGCTGCGTGGGTTTGTGTCGTGCCTGGCAGTCCCAGGTGCCTTGGCGACTAGGGGAGTTGTCTGGCCATAAGGTGGCAGCTGGCAAGCAGTGGGGCAGCGAGCAGCTACGGTCCCCGAGGACCAGTACACAGGGAGCACAGACCTCACTGAACCGCACAGCTCATGAGCAAGGGCCTGGGCTCGCGGTGGTGGTGTCCTCTCATCGGTATGGGGACAGGGAAACGTTGTCCACTTTGGGTGTGTTGTAGTGCCTTGGTGCTAGCCTGAATCTGTAGGAAGGAAGTGTGTGTGTATCTGTGTCTGCGTCTTTTCAGTGTCCTTCTAGCAATGCTGGATGCAGGTGGTCTCTCTAGTGCTAGGGGAAGAGAGGGCACAAAGAAATGGGGAGCTGCGATGGTACGTGGGTGGGTCTCAGTGTGGTGGGCAAGGGACCAGGCAGCCTCGGGGCAGTGCTTGGCCCAGGACTCATGGTGGCATGTGAGCTCAGCATCCCTGTGCCGCAGGTTTCCCTTAGAGGATGGCAGAGAGGTGCCCAGAGATCCCTTGGGAGTGTGCGGGTGCATGGTAAAGGCAGGCGCTAGAACAGCCTGCCGGGTGCGAGGAGCTGTGGGGTGCCTGTGCGTGTGCAGCCCCTCCCGTGAGGCACCGAGGAGCGGGATGGTGCTGGCGTGGCTGGGTTCAGACTGTCGCCCTGTGGGCAAATAGGTCACCCATGAGCGGTGGCGAGCCAGGCTGGGTGTCGGGCCGGGTGAGGGCACAGGGCAGCAGGGCTGGCACTGTGGAGGCGGGAGGAGCCCCAGCAGAGAAGGGATGAGATGAGCCTGCACCCTGATCGGTGTGTGCTCAAAGGGGTGCGTCCCTGGGTGCAGCTAAGCAACGTGCCCCAGCCGCGGCGGTGCGGCCGGGTGAGGGCACAGGGCAGCAGGGCTGGCACTGTGGAGGCGGGGGGAGGCCCAGCAGAGAAGGGGTGAGATGAGCCTGCACCCTGATCGGTGTGTGCTCAAAGGGGTGCGTCCCTGGGTGCAGCTAAGCAACGTGCCCCAGCCGCGGCGGTGCTGGTCGGCAGAGGTTCTGTGGCCTTCCCTTACAGTATCACTACTTAGTAACAGCAATATTGCTGGTGGGGCAAGTTGCTCTGAGGCCCATTTTTGGTGGTGGGATTAAATAAATATATAGAAAATCATTCTGCTCCTGAGCCAGTAACCTGGTACCAGCAGGTTCAATGGATGATGGAGGTATAACACACAACCTGGTCAATCTGGTGAAGAATCATTCCAGATTACACGGCGATACGTAATACTGTTTGGGTGGTTGATGGGCAATAGGAATAGAGAAAGTAAGTAGGAAAGGAGAAGAAAAGTTATCCCAGCCATAAGCTGGTTAGTGATGGCCAGCCTGACAGGTTTTGTAAGCCTGAATTAAGTTTGAATTAAGTGGGCAGAGAACTGACTCACATTTCATTTCATTTCCAAATGAAAATGGCAAGAGTTTTTTTTCATCTGCTGAGTGCATGCATCCAGAATGCGTCAGATCTGAGAGACAAGCTTCACGATACCTGACAATTTTTGTAGTCACAGGTATCAGCTCTAAGTTCTTCTAGCCTTATTTATTTATTTATGTAATGCTTTCTGAGCTTTGCACAGAAGCTAGCTTAAGTTTTTATTGAAAATGGCAAGAAGGGGTAGACAATAAAATTTTGAATCAGCAAAATAACCCATGTTGTTTCAATGCTGTTAGATTTTGCAGTTTATATATCTATTAAAATATTTCTTTTTAATGGATACTTGCTGCCTGGTGATGATATTTTAAATTACTAATGCCTAACAGAGTTCTTTAAATAATTGATTTAAGGGTGTATTAGACACAGCCAGGCCCAAAAGATACAAACATATGAAAAATTATATGAGGCCTTTGACAACAGTGAAATTAAATTAATAGCAAAATTGGATTGAGTTAATCAATTGAGTAAAATGACAGGAAGGTTGCATAAGAGAGTTGAATTGAAGGAGTTTCGCAGTAATCCGTTTCTGCAGTGCAGCTGCTACACGTTTGTGTAATAACAGAGTTGATGAGCAGCTAATTTGTATGAAACTAGAAGCAAGTTAAATGTTGTTTGGATTATAACAGGAGTCTGCAGCTAATGCAGAAAGTGTCTCCGTTGGTTTACTGCTACGCGCTGGAAATTCTCAAAGCTACTAATGATGGGTTTGGCAGATCAGTATGTGGCCATAATGGCACAGTAATGGAAAACTCGAAGGCCACGTTTCCTTTCTCCAACCTTGCGCCTTTCCTATGGCTTCTTTGAAAAGAGCAGGAGAAGGTGCGCTTACAACACTGTGTCAAACCTTTCTCGCTTTCCTCCATCACGTGGGGCAGCCACACTGCCCCAGCAGCGCAGGAACGGCTGAGTAAATTCAGCAAGGCATTGAAAGATGACATGCTTTGCTTTAGGTTGACGCTGCTTTTCCAGGGCTTCATGCAGCAATACCTGCAGCACATAGGCCAGCTAGCAGCCCAGGAAACAATCTGGGTTTTATCACCTATTGCGATTAGGGGTGTTCGCATTCACTCCATCCATGCTGTCACTGCAGTCACAGACAGGCTCCAGTTAGCTTTAAACTAGTTATTGCAGGTGGCAGCTCAGAAAAAAGAAAAAAAGAAAAAAAAAAGAGTAAACTATTTCAGGTTTTGTACACAACCGCCTGGGCCTGGCCTTTTTGTGGGGTCGGCGGGGCAGTGCTCAGTCCGCTCCTCGGCAGGAGCCGGCAGGTGGGGGGCTCCACTGCCCCTTTATAAGCATACCACGGGGTGCTGAGCCAGTGCCCCATCTGCTACCCCAAACCCTTACCAAGTCCTCTGCTTGCTGTAGCACCACAAGAAGCCCTGGCTAATTTGGCGTGGCCTCGAGTGTCCAGGTACGATACCCCATGGTCCACCCAGAGATGTCTGCCCACCGCCCAGCACTGCTCTCATCACCCACCTCCCTTGGACAAGCAAACACACTCATTTCCCTCTGCTTCCTCCCTCCATCTTGGAGGTCTCCAGGCCTACAGCCTTTCCTCTTCTTTTCACTCACTGAAACATTGGATATCTCACCATTTACTTTGAGCCATTTCTCCAGATTGACCCTCCTGTCCCTGGGGCCGTTTTCCAAATACTACTTGGTTATCACAAGAGGCTGAACGTGACATCCACAGACATGTGCAACCGCTGCTGCTTCTGCAGTTCTCTTTCCTAACACAAGGCCATTCACGTCGCCCACACCAAGGCTGCTACCTAGCACTTGGCCACACGATGCTGGCAGTGACACGAGCTAACTACGGCCTGCACAGTTACCCGTCACCCCTTCTGACAGCCCCAGCAGGCTCGAGGTTAGCATCACAGAATCCTCTACCTAGAGGTAAGCGTGATGTGGTCTCAAACCCCAATCATGTT